GGGTTGGCTTTTTCTCTTACCTGTGTGAGGGAGAATGACGTAGTCCCTTGCCCTCTTGCCTTAGGAACCGGGTTAAATTGCTGTCTAGATGTCTCCGAGCCTATGTTTATTTTCTTGACCTGAGCCAGCAGTTCTTAATGTGTGGGTCACGACCCCTTTGGGGGTCGAACAACCCTTTCACAGTGGTCGTTTGATTCATAACAGTAGCAAAATTACAGTGATGAAGTAGCAATGAAAATAATTTTATGGTTGAGGGTCACCACAACATGAGGAACTGTATTACAGGGTCGCAGCATTGGGAAGGTTGAGAACCATTGACCTAAGCCATGGACTCATTTAGTAACTATGGCAGAAGCTTAGCTACCTAACCTGGATCCTAATGTCGCCTTCTCCACCACCTGGGCTGAAGTTGCTAATTAAAAGTCCCCGGCTGTTCCCAGCTTCTGCAGTGTAGGACAAAGCAGCTGTCACGTGGGCTAACCTCTGGCATTCTGCTCAGTTCTTAGAGCAGAAGTATGGCTATTATCACTGCAAAGACTGCAACATCCGCTGGGAAAGTGCATATGTGTGGTGTGTACAGGGTACGAACAAGGTAAGAGAGCCCTTGTTAGAGCTGGCTTTTCCCCACCTTTCCGAAGCCAGTATGCCGAGTGGGCTTCTTCAGTTTTCTTCTCTTGCCCCCGCCCCCTACAGGTTTACTTCAAGCAGTTCTGCAGGAGTTGTCAGAAGTCGTACAATCCTTACCGAGTTGAGGACATCGCCTGTCAAGTAAAGATGTTTTCTTCTTGGGTTTGAATTTTGTAGTGGGTAGAGTTTTCGTTTCATTTCTCTGAATATATTTTTCCCCCAGAGGCGAGGCTTCCAGATGCCTTTGTGACCACTCTTGGTCAGAGCAGAGTAGACTGATATCCACTGGGGGCTCTGCTGGTGCAGTGGTTGAGTTGGGCTGCGGATCCACATGGTTGGCAGTTCCAAACCACCAGCAACTCCGTGGAAGAAAGACCAGGCTTTCGACTCTTGTAAATAGTTAGCAACCTCCTTTGGGTTATGGAGACTGAGTCAGCCTTGGCTTGATGGCAGTGAATTTGGTTTTGTGGAGTGGAAGGGTGAGCTCGGGTGTCTTAGTTTCCCCTTGCAACGCTCCTTCAAGGCGACTTCACTTTGAGAAGCTGGCTTTACTTGCCACCCTGGACCTAAGGTGAGAGGAAGCGATCTGTAAACACCTTTCTCTCTCAGGACGTGGGGTGGTGGGTACTGTTAGGTGCCAAGTCCGTTGCAATCCATAGAGACTCATGCACAGCAGAATGCAACGCTGCCAGGCCCTGCACCACCCTCACGATGGTCCCCAGGCTTGAGCCCCATTGTAGCAGCCACCGTGTCCATCCAGCTCCTTGAGGGCCTTCTCTTTCGCCACCCCTCCACTTACCAAGCATGATGTCCTTCTCCAGGGCTGGTCTTTCCTGAAAACATGCCCAAGATGAAGTCTTGCCATCCTTGCCTCTAAGGAGCATTCTGGCTATACTTCTTCCAAGACAGATAGATTTGGCCTTTTAGCAGTCCACAGTACTTCCACTGTTCTTGGCCAGCACCATACTTCGCATGCATGATGAGGTGTTCAGCTTGACTGTCTTATTTGCGGGCTTGTCATGACACAGATTCAGGTGGCAAGTGTTCGGTGTGAAGAATTGAGCGCAAGATTTGGTGTTTTGCCGGAGCGTTCCCCAAAAGAGAACAATTTCTTCACGAGTATAAATCCAAGCTGTTTCCCCAGCTTAGCTTGAAGGGGGTTTGGCAAGGGGATGACTGGTAATGTACTGCTCATTTACCGATCACGAAGCCTCAATAATCTAAGAGAAGGGATTAAATTCACCACCTGGCTAATAAAACCTGAAATCCCAGGGCTGCACAGTGCTGGCTCTCCCTTGCCTGAGCTGGCGACTGGAAGCATTAGCACCTACGGCAGGTGGAGAGAAATGAAGTGTGGCATGACAGGAAAGGAAGTGTACCCTGAGGCTTCTGCCCGGATGCCTCAACTTGGGGCCCCTGCAGCAGAAGGGCCATGTCCGCCAGCCACTGATGACAGACCTGACCTTGGGCTGGCCTGCTAGTCACTAGTTCTCACATCTTGGTTTTCATGGTCAGAATCCCCTTCCCCCACTTATTCGTTCTCAAGCCGTCCAAAACCCCAAACCCAAACCCGGTGCCATTGAGTTGATTCTGACCCATAGTGACATGATCCAAAAGGACAGGGTTAGAACTGCCCCTGTGCCTAACTATGGGAGTAGAAAGCCTCATCTTTCTCCCATGGAGAGACTGGGAGGTTTTGAACTGCTGACCTTGGTGTAACTGCTAGCAGCTTAAGGTGTAACCACTGTGCAACCAGGGCTCCTGCAGCCCTTCAGGGTTAGGAAAGTATCTCTTAGAAAACGAGCATTGAAGAGAGACTCCACAGTTCAGAATGAAATCGATGCAGCTGGGCTAACCAACCATTGCCAGCCAGTACGTTCAGACTCATGGTCACCCTGTGTGAGTAGGGTTTTCGATGGCTGTGTTTTTGGAAGTACTGAGCTGGATCTTTCTTCCCAGATGCTTCTAGGTAGACGTAACCTGAAAAGTGATCTGTTGGCAGCCAAGCACTTAACTTCCTGGGGGAACCAGTGACAGTGCTTCAAAGTTAAACACCTTCTGTTCCCAGTGCTATCATTGCCAAGGTTGGGAGGCCACGGATGAATGAAATGAGATTAATGCAGGGCCTTGCCTACTGTACATTAGAGAAGTATTTTTTTTCCAATTGTTTTATTAGGGGCTTGTACAACTCTTCACAATCTATACATACATCAATTCTGTAAAGCACGTTTGTATATTCGTTGCCCTCATCATTCTCATAAATAAGTATTTCAATGGAGAAGGAAAAACAAACTTTGAAGTCCTTAAATCACCCCAAGGGTTTGTCTTCTCACTTTTGATTCCCCTGCCCCCCTCGCCCCCACCAGAGTTGTAACCAGGCTAGATGCTCCTGCCCAGTGAGACTTCGCCACGTGGACCCGAAAAGGCCCCACCGACAAGATCTGTGTGGGAGATGCAAAGGCAAGCGCCTCTCTTGTGACAGCACCTTCAGCTTCAAGTATATCATTTAAGAAGTGGAAACTGCTGACCTTGTGCTAATGAGCAGGCAAGGGAGAGCCTTTTGCCCCTGCCCCTTCTCCGTCCCATCTCCCCCTTCTCTGAAGACTTCATGAAAGGCCGTGTACTTTGACAAAGCCTTCCAATAAAGGTATTGCAACACAATTTATACATGGCAGAGCATCTTCCTGTTTAAAATAAGGCCTTGGGAGAGCTTATTCTGTGCTCACAGTGCGAGGCTGTCATGGGCACTGACTTCACACTTGTATTGTCCACATGGGCTCCCGGCTCCCAGCTAAGGCCCTGTAGCTTTTGAGACACAACTTGGAGGGGGGGGCTCATAGGTGAGTTTACCACTTCCGTAGGGCTGGGGCTTTTATATTGGATGAAAACCCGCTTTCTCACTATTCAGATTAGCATCTTACCTCGGAAGTGGAAGCAGCCGTTCATCCCTTGCCGGATGTGTGGAGCCTGATGGGTGTGGGCTGACTCAAAGGCTAGTGTAGGTGGGAGCTTTAGGCCAGATGCATGGTCTTTGTTCAGCAAATGAACTAATGAGGGCCAGGAGAGAAGTGCAAGGGGGCTTTACATGTTTGTAACAAAAAGTCCAGGATCTTTTTACCAGCCCACTCCCCACCAACTTTTAGAAGCCCCCCATCATATAAATGGACTCTGTCATCACTACTCCATGCATATATTCAAATGAGGGAGGGCTGTCGTGGCTAAGCGCAGCTCCTTTACATTTAGCAAATGCAATTAAAAAAAACATTTACAAAGCAAGGCTCCCCCTCCCCCAAAAAACTGGTGCCCTTGAACCCCTTCCCACTCATCACGGCCCCATGTGGGAGCACTGCTCTTGTAGGATTTTGCAGGCTTTTGCAGGCTGTGATCTTCCGGCAGCAGATGCCCACCAGGCCGTTCACCTGCAGAATAGTGACCGGGTGCAAATAAACTTTTCAACTAGTGGTGGATCCGCTTACCTCTTGTTCCAACCGGACTCCTTAAAAAGCCGCCTCCTATAGAAAGAAACTGTTTGAACCTGATAGTGGTAGCAATTGTAAAACACTGCTCCATATGATTCAACTCTGGAATATTGTATCTATACGTTCTCCCAATAAAATAATTTAAAAACAAAACCCTATAAACATGGAAAGATGCAACTAGTCGGGCAACAGTCCTGTGTGCTATCTATAGCAGGGCTGCACATATGTACACAGCCTTCCCCGTGATTCCAGAGAAAATGACTCCCGACGCGTTACTGGTTTAGTTACAGTAAACACATAATCAGAATGAGGAACAAATTGTGTCTCCAATTCACTAGCCATCTTACTGCCTTAGAAGGACATAGAAGCCTTAGCATTTCGGCTGCTTCTGACCAACTGTGAAGGGTGAGAGGGCCCAGAGCAAGGTGCATCAGAGAGATGGGCCCTGCTACATTAAGATCTGCCCAGGAGGAGCTTAGGAGCCTTGGTGCTGTGGGTTAATCATGGGGTTTCTAGTCCCAAGGTCAGTGGTTCAAACCCACCATGTTCAGTGGGGAAAAGATGAGGCTGTCTGATGTATATACAGCTTTGGAAAACCCAGAAAACGGGGCCAGCATGAGTCGGAGCAGGCCCCTTGGCAGAGTTTGGTTAGTTTGAAGCGTCTACAGAAATAAACACGGGTGGCCACCTCTCCCCCCACAGAGCTTCTAGAGCTGGCATCTGGATGAGTTGAATTGAGCAGAGGAAGGCTATAGTCACCTCCACATCTAAGGCAAGGTGTGCACATGCCCGGAAGGAAACCAGGGCCCGTGTTGGGAATCATGACGAGGTCTGAGACAGGATACGTGGGAGAGACTGGGAGGGCTTGTTGGGCCTTGATGGGGAGGCGTGGTCTTTATCAGTTGGTGAGGACCCAGAAAAGGCACTTAACGGTGAGATGAGGCTTGCAGGGACCAAACTGAGAAGGGGTGGAGGCCAAAGAAGTGAATGAGAACCCATTAAGATGTGTGGGTGAAGGGGATGCCCTGTCTACTTGGTCTCAATCCTAATACCAGTGACTTGGTTTGGGGCAGGTACAGGGAGAGGAAACCCATTTAATTCCTATGGCCTGAGTCTGGCTCCCAATGACCCTGTAGGGCAGAACCGCCTCCAAGCTATGTATCATTCTGGAAGCAGATGGCCACATCTTTATCGGAATAGATAGTGGGCTCAAACCACTGACTCTTTGGTTAGCTTCCAGTGCTGTAACCCTGCACCACCAGTCTGCCTTTCCCTGACATGCAGCGGCAGGTTACACATGGCTTCCTAACGTACCAGCAACAAGCCCTAAGATGCCTGCACTCATGGGCTATGTACCCCCAAACCAAACCCAAGCCCAACTCGCGGCTGACCCTAAGCAACCTCATAGATGCTCTGCAGGGTAGAACTACCTCTGGGTTTCCGAGATTGTAATCTCCACAGGAGCAGAAAGCCTCAGCCTTTGCCCATGGAACTGCCGGTGGCTTCAAACTGCTGACTTTGCAGTTCAAAGCCCAACACATAACTACTGTGCCCCCAGGTTTCACTGGCTATGAATGTGGGTAGTTAAACCATCGTTTACATTTTAGATCATTTTACAGTTAATTTTCCCAACAGGGCAGCCAACCCTGTATTAATGACAGTCGAGGAAAGAGGATCAGACTGCGCTTTGCTTAGGTTAGTGGGCACTCAAACCCAGAACCAAGTGCAGCAAAGGCCTCCTTCTGTCACGATGAGCCGGAGGGAGAGCAAGCGAGCAATGAGAAGCCACTGCCATTCGGTTCAGATAACACAATTCAAAGTTAATGTGAATTAAAAAAAATCCTTTTTGAAGCTAACAAAACACTCGGTCATCTCTGGGTATTGTGCCAACAAATCAGAAAACCATAAAACGTGATTGATTGCGTATTGCTATCTTCTTTCCTGTCGTTCCTGGGTGGCTCTTCACGGACCTGACCGAAGCAGCTTACTTTGGTAATTCTCCTGTAAGCGAATGTGTGACAGTTTCCTAAGTTTCAGGGAGTTTGTGCACTGTGTAAGAGTCAGAACCATTTTGTTCCTTGTGTAAAACAAACACACTTGTGAAACAGAACACTGTGGCACAAAACCTGCCAGGTATCCCGGAGTGGCCCGACAAACTTGATTTGAAAATGAGAGCTGATGTTCAGGCATGAAAGGAAACAGCTGCCTGTGACACGCGGGCCCTGCGTGAACGAAGGGTTTGTCAGTGAAGCACTTGGTCTATGTTGCAGGAGTACGAGCAGCAGACTCAGACTTGAGGAAAATCCACTTGCAAAAGGACGATCTGAGTGCGTCTGCAGCTGCACCTTGCTTTCTGCAGGTATCTGTTCCGTGTAGATTCCCCTGTGCATTGGCTGACAACAGCGAAGGGGACCAGCTGCAACGTTTCTAGCCGACGCCCCCAACAGCCACTCTTCTCTCTTCAAATACCACAGGAGCCGACACTGCAAAGCTTTTTATTACTTTAACAAAAAGGATGTCGGGAGGGTGAGAGAAATGGGGGCTGGGACGAGGGGGCGTAAAGGGTGGAGCACCCCCAGACGCCAGCCCTTGCTCCCAGCCTTGTCCCGCCCCGCCCCCAAGAGCTGTGAAATAATTTAGAGAACACAACTTACAGTACCAGAACACCATCAAAATAGTTGCTTTATCAGGGTCCATAAAATACAGTGATTATGAGGGTGCCGTGACCAGGTAGGGGGATTGCAGGTAACAGAGCCTCTGTCAGCAGTCCCACGGTGTGGACAGCGCCTTCCAAAGGGCACCCGATGTCCATTTCTGGCGGGGTCCACACCACCAGAGGGAAGGCAAAGGCTAAGCATTTCGTGTCTACGTCCTACACACTGGGAATCGCAGAGCCCAGTTCCAAAGAAAAGTCACAGTGGAGAAGAGATGCTCATAAAAAAATACAGGGTGCTCCTTTCCAATCCGAGGGATGATGGGACTACATTCATTTCTCTTACAAAACGCTGTTTTAAAAAAGGATGGAGAATCCAGTTCATGTTCGGCTACAGACAGACCTCGTGGTCGTACATGTATTACAGGTTTTGGTGGTCGGTCGCCAGGCCTCGGCTCCTCCCCCCTCCCCTGACCCCTCCCCCCAGCCCCCGGTTCCTTTGGGTGAAACATGCCAGTCCAGAACACAGGTCTGAAACGGCCTCTGCTTCTCCTCGTGAATGCTGCGGGCTGCAGAGTCTGCAAGTCCGCGGCCCATCAGGGACCACCGCCCTGCGCCCGTCTCTTTAGCTCCTGTATAACAGTGCAATGCACACATGTACAAGAAAATACTGTTTAAAAAAATCTATATACACTTTCTAGAATAATTATGGAGTAAAATAAGTTAACTTTTCTAATGCGAGTTGCTGACGGGCAGCACCCATCTTTTATTTTACTTTTTAAAAAGTCTCTGCAGGCATCTACTTTGGTTAGTTATCGATAATCGTAACGTGAGCACTGATCAGAGAACTGAGCAGCATTCCAATAACGTTAACAGATATATTATTTTCTTTTCTTGAAAGTCCTGGGGAAGCCCAGCCTTAGAATATTATTAAAATGTTCTAACATGTACACACTATGAAGAGTTAGAGCTAATAAAATAAAACTTTTTTTCAAAAATAATCTTGCAGTGCTCTGAGGCATGCTGAAGGTGGGGGTGGGGTGGGGTGGGAGGAGGATGTCGTCACCACACATCCACACCTGGAAAATACGACTGTCACGAACCCATACACCCAACTCTCACACACACGGAATTCCTTACACAGACTCCAAAACACAACAAAACAGAAAAACCCCAACCCTTAGTTCCGCATGTTGGAAGAAAAAAAAAAAAATCAATGGTTTTTGCAAACAAGTCTTTTTTTCTCCTGTCCATCTCCACCTGGCTGGATGCTCATCACGCCCGTCATGAGGAGGCTTCGACGGTGGCCACGCCGCTGGCCAGGAGCCCAGCGGCTCTGCAGGTCTTCAGTGAAACCAAGCAGCCTTGATTTCAGCCTCATGTCACCTGCTTCCCAGTGTCTCCGGAGGAGAGGCCATTATTGCAAACTCCCCTGGAACGCTTCTCTGTCTCCAGAAAGCAGTGGGTGTGTAATGCAACACTTTTAGCCCTTTTCTTTCCACCTAGGGTAAGTCAGTCAAAAAGAAAAAGAAAAAAAATCCACTCTTCCGGCAGTTATTGTGGGAGGTATTGGCAGCTGTTAAATAAAGAAATGGTATTTTCACCTTCCGGTCTTTGTCTCTGACGTTCCTTGACTTATTTAGCTGGTACAACTTGGCATTAGTTACAACATGTAGTGGGGGCACTGCCAGAGGAAGGTCCAGCTGAGTGGTGAGCGTTCGAAAAGGTGCTTGGTTAATATCTGCCGTCGTCCTCTCCTCTCCAGGATCACTTCCTTCCTCCTCGGTGCCTGAAGCCCCTCAGAACCCAGTGCTCACCAGGTTTCCGATGGGCTTGGCCAGGGATAGAAGTTGGTAAGACTGCACCGTGCGTAGAGACTCTCGTATTTCTAGATTCAGTTCCATCAGTTTGTAGTTGGCTTCTGACATGTCCTGGTTAGAGCCTATAATGGCGAAGCTTCCTGTCTGGCCCAGTGTCTGATGATGGAAATAGATGTGTAACAGCGTCCGCACAGGATCATCTTCACAGCCGCCAAATATGTCATTGGGCCAGAGAGACCTGAAAAGACATCAGATTAATTTTGAATCCTGCGGCTACATCAGTTAGCGGTATAGGTGATCTACATGGAAGGCAATATTTATAGCAGGTTGGGGAGCGTCCGGACCGAGGGCTGTAGGCTCATGAAATCATCAAGACCAGCTAACAGCATATGCCTCAGCAGAGAAGCAGTTTCGGCAATCACATGACGCCAAACTGCCTGCCATCCAGTCACTGCTGACCCACAGCCACCCTACAGGACAGGCTAGCTCGGCCCCCGTGGGTTTCCAACAAGGTAACTCTCTTACGTGAGTAGAAAGCCTTTTCCTTCCTCAGGGCGGCTGGTGGTTTTGAACTGCTGACCTACATAACCACTACAACACCAGGGCTCCTCAGCCATCACCTTCGGAGTAAGTTAACTGAGCGACCTGTCTGGGCCGATAAATATCAGAGACAAGATTCCCTAGCCTTGATCCACAGCGATGACAAAAGAGAGTTTTATTATTATTATTTTTTTTACTGGAAGCAACTGCGAGAGAGAACATGCTAACATTGGTATTGGTTCAGTTATGATGGTTTCTTTTCACAAGAAACCTCACGGTCGAAAACCCGAACCCAGAGAAATGGTCACTAGTAAACCGCCCCCTTCTGGCCACACCTGGACGTCTTTTCGCCGTTTACCTGAAAGCTTTGACCTGTGCGACAGCTGATACAAATTCCCTGTTCTTCAAGGTTTCAATTAAAGAATGGATGGCAGCCTCTATTGTCGTTTGGGCGGCTGTGGAAACGTCCATGTCTTCGTGTTCAGAAGCAGCCTCGGCTTCTTTGAGGATACTTTCAAGCTGGGCCAGCTCCTCTGACATGTTGATGACCTAAAACAAAGCCACAAAGATTGATTTGCAGACTCAGTTACAACTGGGCGAACTGAGAACCTGGCCCCCACACATTGAACAGGCTCTAGCACAAAGCTGATGGCACTATTTCCCTTATTTTTGTTTTCCTGAGAGGCTGGTAGCAGTTTCGAACTGCTGACCTTGCAGTTAGCAGCCCAGCGTGTTACCCCGCATGCCACCAGGACTCCTATTTCCCTTATTTTGAAGAGTATTTCCATAGGCTAAGTTTAGTGAGGGGAGTCCTATTCAAGAGCTGTACTCAGAAGCACTACATGATTTCGGCCACCAAATTAGGTATACTTGATCAAGCAACAAGTTATAATACATGTTTATATCTTTTTTAACATATGATCACATATTACCATCTTAACTGAAAACTCACTGCCATTGGGTTAATTCTGACTCACAGTGACCCCTAGAGAGGGTTTTTGAAGCTGTGAATTTTTACTGGAGAAAACCGACTTTTTCTAGTGGGATAGCTAGGGGGTTTGAACCATCAAACTTCAGTCCAATACTTTCCTGATAGCCCCACCAGGGTTCTTTATATAATACATCTCAGGTGCGAGAAGGGCTTTTGACTCCTGTAAAGATTCACAGCCATGGGCTCAGGAGGAGTCAGAACTGCCTCGACGGTGGGAGTACAGGACAGATGGTAAAAACACACAATTTTATGGGGAAGATAGTGTTTGTTTATTTTGGGGTGGTGGTGGTAGGGAGGGGACCATTTAGAATGACCTCTGAATACTGTAAAAAGTTATTTACCTAGGGCATTTTATATAACCCACACATATAGTCGTATATATATATGTTTATACACACAATCTATATTTTACGTAACTGGTTTGATTAAAGGGAAAAAACTCTCCCCAGGGACAGTTTTAGTTCCAGCAGGTAGGTGAGAGGGTGGGTGGGGGAAAGACCTCTGATTCCGAACAGTCAGGGTATTTGTTTTCAACATGCTTCTTCTGTGTGTGCTCGAAGAACTACAGCAATCATGTCTGCACAAGATGTTAGGAGATTTCATGTCGAAAGTGTGTCCCACTGAGCCAATGGGCTTCACTGGACTTTTATTTACCGATGGCGTGCTGCACTTCTGAAAGCTTGACGGTCTTGCACCTTGGTAAGACTGCTATCTGATTCACTAATGGGTAGTGAGATTGCATATTAGTTCCAAATAAGATAAATCCTGAACTGACCATCCCCACAAAAAAAGGTGATTCACTATAAACGACAGTTGACAGCAGCTACTGTAACACAGAACGTTTTATGCACGTTTTCTGGAATCCCCCCTACTAAGGAGTCGTTACCTCTGCTTCATTTCTGACTGTGTTCACGTGGTTGATGAGTTTACAGTAGGCCTGGAACAGAAGCAGCAATTGAAAGTGCAGTTTGTATAGCCTCCGGCAGAGCTCCACTTCCTGGAAAAACAACACTGCATTCAACCCAGGCTCTACGCTACTTCCCCAAGACACCCGGCTGGAGAGCATATTTTCAACAACAATGCAAATGTTAAATAAATATTAAGGTTAACATTTCTTTGGCACGTTTTTTCTATTTTCTGCAATAAGTAAGTTAATATGGTGTGAAGCTGATGAAAGAGGAGAGATGCTCAGGGGGCTGGGATTGAAATCAAAACATACAGATTACTGTGGGTTACATAAGTCATCCTTAGCGGTAAGGCCGTTTGCACAGCAGACACCTGGAGTGTTTGAGCAGGCTTTAGACTTCAGACTTCACATCACAATGCACATGGTTGATAAATACATAGGCTCATTTATTTATTGCCTCCTCAAGATGCACACGGCCTTGCATTTATCAAGAAGTGCTTCATAAAGCCCAATAAAACTGGACAGCCTTTAACCTAAAAAAGCAAGGCCAATTTGTCTTTAAAAGAGGCTGACCTTCCTAAAAGACAACCGCTGGGTGACTTCATTGAAACCAGACTGTGACATTAACAAGAGCACTCTGATTTTTTTTAATTAAGAATTTTAAAAGGAGGCATGTTAGTGACAAGATTTAGAACAGGTCATTAAACTGCTAGTTGTATATATTAACTATAAAGCCTCATTTTTAAAAACGGGGCCAACGTTGGATGGATTAGGGCTATGCAAAACTGAGGCACACTCGGAGTAGGGTGGTCAAGGGCAAGACACAGCTGGGTCACAAATGAGATGAAGACCAGTTGGTCCAACAGGGTAAGTAGTCTATAAATCAAGGCAGGCCACTTACTGCTAGAAATTCCATTTGCTAAGCAAGAAGGTGAGCAGGTCATTAAAAAAAAAATACAAAAAGAAGAAAAAGACCAAGAATTAGTATAAGAACTCATTTTAACTAGGCTGTCAGATGTCCCAGGCAAATCGAAGAACATATATTTATACCCCACAGGAAAATTTATGACGCTATTTCCCAAATGAAATGTTTTAGACATTCACTGCAACCTTCAGGGGAGTTTGGACTCTCTGGGAAATTATAACTCAGTTACAATAAGGCTTTGATACACGTGAGCACCAAGTCTTCAGAGTGAAACCTAACCACAAATGCGCTCTTGGGAAATTTGCCAGACATAAGTGTTCTCTCTAGCAAAAAACCCCCAAAAAATAAAACAAGGAAAACAGAGCAACAGTTCAAAACAAAAGAAAACATCAACTATAATAACATCTTCATTACTAATCTGGAACATTTCTGAATTAACATGAAATTGAACGAGTTACTTCTAAGATTAGAATTGGTCTCTAACCTTACACAAAAAACAACCCCAAAAAGAAGATCTGGGGGCTCAATCGGGCTTTCTAGTTTTTATCTTTACTCTCCAATTGGGTTCTAAAGTCCCATAACTGGTATTGAGGCAGAGGGTAAAATATCAAAAGCATTTTAAACTGCATTCCAAAATATCACTCAGAAGTAATCCAACTAGGTTGGAGTCACATAATTAGCCCTCTTGGCCCAGTGAATTATGAATCAGGCTGCTGAGTGCAAGATCAGCAGTTTGGAACCACCAGCCACTCTGTGGGAGAAAGAGGAGGTGCTCTGCTCCCGTCAAGATTACAGCCTCGGAAACCCACAGAGGCAGTTCTATTCTGGCCCAGGGGCTCACTATGGCAGTGAGTGTGGTTTGATGGGATGTTACAAATGGAAACAAAAAAACCAAACCAGTGAAAAATATAATTTGAAAAATATAATTTCAAGATGATTTAAAAACCTGCTAGCAAGTTGGACCAGAAAAAGAATGGCTTTTAATTAAAAAGCAATTGCTATAATGTAGCTTGTAGACATATTTCTTAAAGTTTGTTTTTTTAAGTTTCCTATACAGAAACTTTTAACATTTATTGCCATCAATTTAGAAGGGATTTGCAAAGCAAAGCTGAACTTTAGCTCTGCATAGTTTACCAAAAATTAGGTGGATGTGCTATTCAGTGAACATTCATTGAACACAACCCAAAGGCAAACATCTGGCACACCCCAAGTTTGTTTATCTATGCAGCGACTAGTCCCTGGAAGAGGACATGATTCTTGGTAAAATAAAGGGTGAGTAAAAAGAGGAAGGCCGTCCAGAAGGTCAGATCGATACAGTGGCTGCAACAAACAGCTCAAACATCATTATTGTGAGGATGGCGCGGGATGGGCAGCGTTTTGTTCTATTGGACATGGGGTCACTATGGGGCAGAAATGATTCAATGCCACCTAATGCCAACAACAAGGTCTCCATACCCGAGGTTTTGCTTTATAGGATACTTGGGGATTAAAAACTATCTGGGATTTTAAGTGATTACTTTGTCTCACATCTATTAGGGTAAATTGGAACTGACCCTACATCTATGATCTTCATTTGGATGTAATGGAACTGATAAAAATTCACAGCACACAAGACTCAACTAGTACATAGGGACAGAGAGTGGGAAAAATTATATACATTGGTCCCTGTTCATTCCCCTCCAGTGGCTGAATAAGCCAAAATAAAATGGACATGAAATAACTATGTAAATAAGAGATATAAGTTTCACTTGGTTAAAAAAAACAACAACAAAAAAAATCAACCATAAGAGGCTTAGACTCTTGGAAATGGATCTTCCTTTCTTCAGGTCTAAGCAATCACTCTGTCCAATTTTGCACAGGCAACAAAAGGTGATCTTCTAGCCCAACCCACACACTTAAATAGTAAAGACAGAATTAGAACCAAAGGTTTGGATTAGTGCCTCATCTTGATTCAATTTTCTTCTTCACACCGATGATTTAGCCCCTCGTTTCTGGATGACACTGTAGAATGTGGAGTCAGGGTTCCTGGGGATCTGACCCTTGGTTCCCACTATGGCTTCATGATCTTAGACAAATTGGCTTCTACGCGCCTCAGCTGCCTCATTGCAAAGCAGGCATGCTTATAGCATCTCCTCGATGGCGTTGTCAGAGTAGAGCTAATGAACATGGCACACTTAGCACAGGGCCTGTATGGGGAGCACAGAGTATCTTCTTAGCATTTCTGGTTTGATAAAACACTCCAAATTATTATTACCCTGGTATGGTAGCTTTTAGAGTGACCAGCAATCTGTCCCTGAGCCCCTGTGTGGGAAAGATCACAACTCTGATGGCCACGACGGAGGCGTTTCATGAATGCAGGCATGCCTCCACAGGAAGCTGCATGCCTCTCTTTGGGAGTCTTTGTTTTCCTCCCTGATTCCAAGCACACACGTATGTGCACTCTTCCCTAGGAAAGTTACCCCATGGTCACTGTCACCGAACTTTATCCTAGAGAATCAGAATGCTACCCTTAGAAAGGTGAATTTTAATTTCCTTTACATGACTCCTGACCAGACGCGCGCTCTGCAGAATGTGCATGCTGGACTCTTATTAAGCTTCAGTCACAAGCTGGCTGTTTATTTTTTATGAAAGTCAATTTTTCATTACTCAGACCCTATTACAGGGAGTCCAACTTTTACAAAGACGCTTCTGATAACCAAAATGAGAAGTTGTACCAACAGTCTCTATCTCTGGGAGTATCAAATAGGAACTTGTGAAGCTATACATTGTTTGATTCAACACATAGAAAAAAACCCAGCAAAAAGCAGAAATAAGATGCTCACCTGTGCATCTGTGTTCAGCCTATATGTGTCTTCTTTGGCACGAAACGTCCTCTTACAGTTGTCTAACCACTGAAGGAATGAGTAAGAGTAAGTCTCAGTATAGCATATGTATACTGTGCGGTGGGGTTGGTAATATAACAGGCGGACGTACAAAGGCAGCCAGCTTCACAGATAATTTGAAGTTTGCGGACTGGTAGTTGGACACAGTTTCATCCCCACGTGAGAGCCCCATCACTGACCACCCTAGGAGGACGACCTCCCCATATTGGAAAATTCACATGCCTGTGGCAGTTTACCAACTACCCACCTATCGTTCTGTTCCTGCATGGAGTGTTCTTCATATTGCAGGCTTTACTGGAAATCCTCCCGACCTATACTGACCTTTGTTCAGTGTAAGATGGAGAAATGAATGGTGTGCTCCCCTCTGAGCTGTTTGATAAAAGCAACTTAGAATTAACCAGCTCCATTTGCGCAATCTAACTCTCAGAGGGCTGGCATTAGATTAAATTCGTGGAACAGAAGCCAAGATCATTCTAAACCTTGTTTTCTTTCTTTTTTGATGGTCATGAGTGATGACCGTGTGTATTTCTCCAATGAATATTAGATACAGAAGTCAAATGTGGCTTTTCCTTACCCAGCAAGCTACCCCTCCCCTACATGGGATGTTTCCTTAAAGCACTTTCTCTTTGGGCCAGTAGAACCCACAGCGCTGTGGGAGAGTGAAGAAGGATCGAGAGGAAGTCAAAGCTGCTGTTGTTAGCGCCACTGAGTTGATGTGAACGTTTAAATACTTCAATTCAAGGTTCTAAATTTCAGTAGTTTGATATTCCTAATAATATCAGTTCTTTGGGCTCATTTTCTAAAAAACAAAACTAAATTAAACTAATTCACTGCCTTCGAGTTGATGCTGACTCACAGCTACCCCCCACAGGATAGGATAGAACTGCCCTGTGAGTTTCCAAGATTGTAACTCTGTGCAGGAGTGGAAAGCCTTGTCTTTCTCCCACCGAGTAGCTAGCGGTTTCGAACCGTTGACCTTGTGGTTAGCAACCCAATGAGTAGCCATTACACCACCAGTCCTGCCCATCATCATTAACACATATAAAAACAAGAAATCACTAGGACTTCAAAGAAAAACTATCAGCTATGTCGTACACTCTTTGAAAATCAGTTCTAGATACACATTAAAAAATTTCAATTGTAGTTTAACTACTTACATTCAAAGCATTACAATTAGACATCTTAAGTTATTTCAGAAGCAGTCCCTAACCGATGTCCCTTTTATCCCTGTCACTCAGCTTGCACTGACCCTTAGGTGACAAGCCTGACAGGTCTCTGAGAAAAACCATGTTAAGCGTTTCCAATGTGACGGCTGAAAGCAGCAGCTGTCAGGAGCTACCCCGCTGATTTTGTCCGTTCAGTGAATTGCAGCTGACCTTTAGCATAGAATCTGTGCATTTATTTTTATTCACATAAACAATCTTTAAATGCTTATAAATGCCTAATCACCACCACTGTAATCCAGTTCAACTCTTCTAAGTATACTTAACAAAATAATTGATTTCATTGTATTAATGGCTTATTTTTACTAAATGCAATTTTTAATAAGTACAGAGTGATGTGTCAGCACTAGTGGTGCTGTGGGTTAGGCCCTGGGCTGCCAACCTCAAGGCTGGCAGTGCCATCCCAACAGGAACTCCTGGGGAGATGGAGGGAGCTGTTCCCAGAAGAACGACAGCCTTGGGATCTTTCCGTGTCACAGTTGACGTGGTGGCAGTGAATGTGTCCTTTGGTGGGTTTATTCAACATGGCTATTTCTAATTTTTATTCCATCAAAAGAAAAGCTCCAAGGCTACAGTTTAATGGCTCCCCAAGTACAGACCCAGGTCTTGTAGTCAGTGCTTACAAGACACGGCGGACTGTTGGCCCCTAGGGCACCATCAGTTCACTGTGGTAGTTACATAATTTTGCGTCAACCAGATAAAGAGTGTAGGGGTGGAGTCTAGCCTGTCAATCAGGCCACAGCCTGATGATGTCTCCTTGTGGGTGTGGCCTTCTCATAAGGAGGGTGCTGAGGCAGGGGGGACAGCCCCCCACTTCATCTTCTTGAAGAGCCACCCTGAGTGCTGCCAGAGCCCTGTGATACTGCCACTACTCTGGGAAACACAAGCCTCCACCAGCGGTTCTCACCTGTGAGTCGCAACCCCTTTGGGGGGGTCCAACGACCCTTTCACGGGAGGGGGGGAGGCTAAGACCATCGGAAAACACATAATGATTTACATTACGACTCATAACAGTAGCACAATGACAGGTATGAAGTAGCAACGAAAATAATTTTATGGTTGGGGGTCACCACATGGGGAACTGTACAAAAGGGTGGTGGCATGAGGGAGGTTGAGAACCACTGCTCTACACCCACCAGCTGGAGATGTGCCCGCATTCTGCATCGTTGCATGTGCACAGGCGAGTCTGAAGCGGGGCTTATGGACTAGTATCAGACTTAGGGACTAGCATTGGGTTTATGGACTTGATCTGGACTGGGCTGGGATGTTTGCTTGATACATAATTAATATATGTATTAATATAAAGTCTTAATATAAAGTTCCCTCTTATACATATATGAGCGTCACCGGATTTGTTTCTCTGGTCAACCTGGTCTAATGCATTCACATTTTCCTGTCTATGTCTGTCTTTTCTTCCTTTTTAGATTCAGGGCTCAAGTGAAGATTAACCTTTAACTGGATAGGTTCCACATTTGCATGTCGAGGAGGAACATCCATGCGAGGAACCCTTCAAGGACAACTGTAAAAGCTGACGACCTTGGCCAGAACTGAGGACTTGAGCTCCCAGGGAGGAGGGAGGGAATTCTTAAGTGAGCCCCGCATTTCTCTCTCTCTAACCCCGGGTGCGGGTGGGCGGGTTGTGTATCCCTGTTCTTGAGGATAGATGCTGAAGAGAGGAGAGAGAGGGAATTCTTAAGTGAGCCCCGCATTTCTCTCTCTCTTTTAACCCCAGGTGTGTGTGTGTGTGTGTGTGTGTGTGTGTGTGTGTGTATCCCGTTCCTGAGGATGGATGCTGAAGAGAAGGTGGCCCACACGTTCAGTGGACTGCGGACACAGGCTCGTCAAAGGGGAGTGAGGTAGTGCAGGAAGGAGCCCAGGGCCCTGCTCCGATGTTCCTCATGAGTAAGAGGAAGGCTGAGAAGCCATGTAGTCGTTTCGGGAGACTCAAAAGGTCAGCAGAGGTGTCTGACCTCATGTTGTTGGGAGCCGAGAAGTGTCAGTGGCGAGCAGGGAAGCAGGGTCCTGGTCACTCCCTCCCGCTTTCCCTTGCTGTCCTTCAGAGGGAGGCGAGCTGCAGTTGGAGCGGCTCAAGTACCGCCTGGAACATCGGAACCACCCCAGTTCCTCACTCTGATGTATCCTCTGACTTCGAGAAGCAGGGAACCCTCTGGAGAAAGATCTCACCCTGTGTTTCCTCAGTCTTTTTTCCTGAACAAGTATTAGCATGTCCATAAAAACTGATCAGGCATGTCAGAAGGACCTGACGACCGAGCCAAAGGGGTGGGGGCAGGAGAGACAGACACAGGTGGCCGAGGCATTGGTGCTATAGCTGTGAACTGTACCGATGACAGCGTGTTCAAGGAGGGAAGGGACAGGCCAGAGAACCGCCCCGCAGCATGAGAACGTATGGAGGCAAGCAACGGAAGTGCTGGAGCTGAAGGGACACTGCCCAGGCTCACTCCCCAGGCATCGCAAAGAAGCCCACAGTCCAAACCAGGGGCGTCAAACTCAATGAACATGCGGGCCACATCCAAGATATGACAAAATAACAATTTATAAACTATCAAGGGCTCATGAGGGAGGGGGGAGCGGGGACTGGGGGAAAAATGAGGACCTAATGTCGGGGGTTTAAGTGGAGAGGAACTGTTTTGAGGATGAGGGCAATGAATGTACAAATGCGCTTTACACAATTGATGTATGTATGGATTGTGATAAGAGTGGTATGAGCCCCTAATAAAACGATTAAAAAAAATGCAGGCCACATCACATTGACAAATTTTGTTAAATTTATATTTTGAAGTGCGGATTCAGGAATATGGATAGGAAAATTGAAACACTATATAATTGCTTTTATTTAAACATTTATTTTATTTAATGTATTTATAAAACTAAAATTACTCTTTTTTTACCTGAAATTTGCCAGTGCTTTCCTCCTACTAATTTTCACTTACCTCTTATGATGTGACCAGAAAATAAAACAAAGTAACTAATAAAAAACACAAAATGTTGGACAGCTGACAAACATGATGCACAATTGTAATGGCTGCCCTCTAAAAATGTTAACTAGCGCTGCCGCTAGGTATGATTCACAACAGCACAACCCAGAGTGCCCTTTTTAACCTTTTCGCTATTGGGACCTGTTGACATTACGTGACACTGAGAGTGGCAGACATATTGCTTCCTGGGTCAGCGTGTTTATCCACGTGCACAGGCCCCCAGGAAAGGCACTGGGCCACGTGTACACTCGTCTTCAGGAGCTTAAGGGTTAATGAGGGAATTATGTGCACGGTATTGCCTCCATCTCCCCTAAGTGCTCACAGCAATTTTTTCTATTTTCATTTTATTACAGAGCATCATAGGCCAAAAAAAAAAAAAAAATTACCTCGGGAGCCACATGCGGCCCACAGACCACCAGCTTGACACCCTGGTCTAAACCAACCACCCTCAGAGCCGCCTCCACTCAGTGAAGTTGTCTCCTCAGCTCGGAGCTGTCTCTCCCGGTGGGTGACCTGCCTTGGCTCTCTCCGGGACCCCTGCTTTTACTGACAGCTCTCCCATCAGTAAGTGACTTCCTGACTCACTCGAGACACGTTGTGTACGCAGCTGCATTCTTCTGCCCAGTGTCGGTGCTTTCTAATCCTTCCTCGAACAGCCATGGAACAGGAATCACGATTTACATGTCATGCTCCACAGCACGGCACCGTGACATGGCGATTAGGTGCTCAGCCGCCAGTTTCTATGGTCAACACGGAACCCACCAGCCACTCGGTGAGTGAAAGCCGGGCCAAGTCTGCTTCTGCAAGAAGCCCGGCCGTGGAAGCCCTGCCGGGATTCTCCACGCTGTCCTGCGGGGACCCCCTTGGCAGCCCTTCTGTGCAATGGATGGTTAATATTTATTATGGAGAGACGACCCCCTCCCACTCCGCCCCCCTTGTCTGTCGGTGTGTTGCACTGCGGTGGCCTTGTGTGCTGCTGTGATGTCGGCAGCGAGGTCGCTGGTGTTTCAAATGCCAGCAGGGTCCCCCAAAGGGAGCAGGCTTCAGGGGAGCTCCGGACTGAGAACAGGCCCGGAAGGAGGAATCGCTGCCCGCTTTGGAGACGGCACCCGCTGCAAATCTTATGTATTTACTCTGCGGCACAAGGCCGCAGCCGACCCGATGGCACCGAACCCTAACAACCACAAGGAGAGGCCTGCCTCCTGCTCTAGCCATGACCGAGCACACAAGAAAGCGCAACAAGCCGACTGTGCACCGTTTGTGTGAGAATCAGAACTTAACGTCCCCCGTTCCTGCCAATTGAAAACAAACACACGGGATTTACTCTCAGAGGAGTGTCTTCGCCAATTCTGAGCAGGCGCGACGTGCCATCCACAGGGGCTTATTTCTTCTTCGCTTGCCTGAGCAGATCCAATGACCCACTACAGGAGCAAGCTCACAGCATTCTCAGAGATCTTAACGCTCTCTCAGAAGAGCCCTGCTTTTCTTTCCCCATGCGCAGCGTTGGCAGCAGCAATGGTCTCCATACGGAGGCTGTCCACTCTGCTCTTAAGATTGAGAAGGAGATCAAGAAATAAAACCCAGAGGCGGGAATCTGCCAGACAGCATGCTGGGAGCCCCCATCAGTCACGGTGGAACTCTTAGGCGTGGGCTAAATTCACTCTTTTCTGTCTAGGCTATTCTAGGTTAGCCAGATAGATGGTCAGGTCTGTTGTCAGGAGCAGACGCCTATTTCCCAGGGTAAGAAAAGGGGGACTGACCTGCTCGGCTGCTTCTCTCTTGGCATTGTACGTATCCAGGTGCTCTTGCAACTCCAGGACACTGAACTTGAGTGTTTCCAATAAGCCACACGACATGAGCTGTCAACACAGAAAGAAACACAAGGACCCGGTTACCATCGCTGACCTTTGGGTCATGGCATCCCTGTGACTCAATGTTCTGGCCCATCTTGGGGCCAGGATCCCTCACCACACTCTGTCCTCATCGAAGGCTAACGAATCCTGTCGTGGGATTTCAAGGTCCCCAGAAAGGGCAAAACCACACCGAACTTGCTGCCACTGTCGATGGCAACTCATAGCAACCCTATAGGACACAGGAGCACTGTCCCGTGAGACTGTGACTCTTTACCGGGTAGAAAGCCCTGTCTTTCTCTTGAGGAGAGGCTGGTGACCTTGCAGTTAGCAGCCTAGCCTGTAACCGCTATGCTAGCAGAGCTCCTTCAGAAAGGACAAGTCCCCTTTCCAATGCGGCAGAGTACTGGTGCAGGCGAGAGACGGGTGGTCAGATCAGTATGTACCTTCCAGGTCTCCCCTCGGAAGTTTTTAGTATCCAAATTCTTTAAAACAAATACCTAAATACATACTCTGAATGTGTTTGGAGACAAACAAAACCAAACAAAACAGGCAAAGACTGAGGAGCCCTGGGTACTTTGCCGGGGACGTGGCAACTAGCAAACTCTAGCCTTCTCCTCACTGCTGACTCCCTGCCCCTGTGGGTTCCTGAGATTGTCACTCTCTCTCCCGAGGAGTGTCTGGTGATTTTGAACTGCTGACCTTGCGGTTAGCAGCACAACACGTGACCATTATGCTACCAGGGCTCCTCAGCCTTCTGTTTAGAAATAGAATTACCCGTCAGTCACTGCCTAAAATACTTGGGAATTGTGAGGAATGGTTACATTTTGCCAGTTATCTGTAACTGGGTTGAAAATATGAGCCACGACACCACAAGACCCCACCACCGCCTTTTAAAAGAGAACATCCCCTGAGTGGGGCCCTGGCAAATTTGGGCTTCCCAGTACACGCCCCCCCACCCTCCCCGGGGAAAACGCACCGTCTCAGCATCCACAAAGACAGTGGGGCATTCGGAACACATCATCATCACCTCCAAGGAACTTTTAAATTTGGTACCAATGCGCTGCAGACTCCCGCCCAGACAGCCGATGGCCTCCGTGGTTATGTCTCCAAACTTCCTTTGAATTGTCTGTGGGGGGAAAAGCACAGGAAACAGTTCAGTCTTTCTTGGGAGCCCTCTCTCACCTTTAGGTAAAAAAGCATCATGTATAATTGGGGCAAACCTTTGTCTTCATGTATTCTTATTGCGGTGGCAGACACACTTTTAATAACTGACCTGAAACCCCTCTTTTCAGATGTTCAAAAACAAAACAAACAAACAAAAACAAACTTTTAAATGTGAATTAGGTGGGTATTTACATTTCAGACGATTTTTGTGTTTGACAAATTAGAGAACTTATCAACCCTCCAAAGAGTTTGCCCAGCCCTGCCTCCAATCCCCCTTTCTCATCTTCCTCTCTTAAATGATCTTCCCTTTCACCCACATAACACCTGTCCACCCTCCAGCCCAAGGTGTCCCCAAGTGGGCAACACTGGCCGCTGTGGGGCACTGGAACAGCACAAACAAACACACGGCCCTTGCCTCAATTCTCATTGAGTAGGCCCCATGGAACAGAGCAGAACTGCCCTGGGGGCCTCCAAGTCTTTCTGGGAGGAGAGAGTCAAGCCTTTCCCCGGCAGCCTCATGTGTAAGCACTCTGCCAGCAGCTCTCCGGGAGGCTGTGGAAGCACATGCTTACACTGCCTCCTGCATTGAGGCTATAGTAGTTTTTAATGGCCAGGGAGGCACCAAGTTGTGTGTGTGTGTGTGTGTGTTTCTGGTTTTGTTTGTTTTTCTGAGAAGCGGGCAGTGGGCCAAATATGTTTGGGAACCTATGCTTCCCCTTCTCTTCCTTTCTCTCCCTTCTTGGGAAGCCTCACATTCTGCTGTTTTGGGAGGAGTCCAAAAACCATTATCTTGGTTTTTTTCCTTTTACATACAAAATGCCCTTTTGTGATTGCTGAACTTGACTCGGCAAGAATACGCTCCAAATCAGTGACTGCGTCATGTTCTGTCTTTAGGTATTGCTTGGGAAAGAAGGTGGTAAGAAGTGATCGGAGACACTAGGGACCCCGCACTCATTCCCGAGAGCAGGGGGGGCAGCCTGCATGCGTAGCCTTGAAAATGGTCTGCACGTGCCTGCAGAACTCGCTCTTCTCCAGTTAAAAGGCCTGTCTGAACGATTCTGCTCATGACTGTACCGTCTGGCCGTGGCTATGGGCTGCTGTCTGATTTTCCATGATTGACATTAGAGTTAAAAACATGTGCGAAGGCGAACACTCTCTCAGAACGTAAGGATGCTCACACTGAGCCTCTCAGTGCAACGTCTTTGGCATTCCTGAGGGTGCCTAGCAAAGTGCAGAAATAAATCTCCTACTGTTTCTAAGTCTCATTCTACTGTATGTACTTGTGTATAAGCCGAGTTTTTTCAGCACACTTTTAATGCCGTTTTATGGTAAAATTAGGTGCCTCAGCTGATATTCGGGAAGGCTTATAATCAAGGATATACGGTAATTGCCTAAGAGGAGAAAATCCACTTAGTCAAGTGTGTTCAGCACTGGCAGTACGACAACAACATTATCAGATTAGAAGGGGAAAAAACCAATTATTTTTCCTAGAAAATCATTAAATATTACATTTGAAAACATCAAACTTTATCAAATTCTGAAATACCAAGTTGAGGAGAGGAGCCATATCGCTGCCAGGTAAGTCGGACATGACTCTGGCCCCGGCGGCTCACTGACCTGAAAGAGCCTGGCAAACACATGGAAGGTGAAGACTGCGCAGGAGCCGTCTGTGTCCGACAGCATCTGGTTGACGTGGCAGCGCCAGGCTTCTTCCTCGTCGTCGCACGCGGCTGGCTGGAAGGCGGCTATGATGGCAGAGAGGAACGGGGACGGGAGAGGGGACGTCTGGACCTCGGGAAAACCATCCTGCTCGTCTTCCTCTTGACTGTAACGCAAACACCACACGCACCATAGGCGCTCGTGAAACAGCACAACAGAACACGCCATGCCATGTGGATTTTTTATTTTTTAAGATTTCTAGCTACCACGCACCAGTTTGGGTTAGGAGACAGGCCAGCTACGCTTCGCCAGGGGAAGCACAGATGAGCAACATTTCTAGGGTCTTTCCCACTCAGGACCTTTAGAACAAGAATTCTATTGCACTCAGACCAGTGGTTCTCCACCTTTACTACAGTTCCTCATGGGGTGGTGAGCCCCAACCATACGATTATTTTCGTTGCTATTTCATCACTGTAATGTTGCTACTGTTAGGAATCATTATGTAAATATCTGATCTGCAGGGTGCATTTTCATCGTTAAAAATGGAACATAATTAAAGCATAGTGATGAAGTACAAAAACAATATGCAATTATATATTGTGAAATATTTATTTCTAATGGCAAATAAATGAAATTTTGTCTTGAAGCATGGTGTAGCATGGGTAACAGTCTTCACACTGGGTACTCTTACGTGGACATATCTGCATGTGGGTGGACCTGCCTGGATACGGATAGAGGAGAGGTGTCTCAGTTCTTAAGACCATCGGAAATATGTTTTTTTTTAATGGTCTTAGGTGACCCCTGTGAGAGGGTCGTTCAACCCCCAACGGGGGTCGTGACCCACAGGTTGAGAACCGCTGACTTAGACACTCTCAATGCAACCTGCACCCTTCAGTATGCTGTCTCCCTGGATTAATTCCAGTCATTTATTTTGAATAATAGCAATCAGGATTGCTATTATTTCATATTAGTTGGTCAGTTTTGGAAGCTCTTTCTTCCTATGAAAGGGCCTGGCGGTGTAGGGTGTTATGCACTGGGGGGCTACCCCAATGTCAGCCATTTGGCGCCAGTAGGTGCTCCAGGAGAGGAAGAAACCAGCTTCAGAAACCGCAGGGGGTGATTCTGTTGTCTCACAGGGCCATTGTGAGTGAGGAATTCTTGTGATAGCAGCGGGTTTGGCTCTCATTCAAATGGTCCCCAATGGATGATGATGAAGGGCAGTGATCTTATAAAGGCTTAGAAGTATGTATTTTTGTGCCAAGGGCTATGTCTAATGTTTTAGGCAGGCATTTCAGGGAACTTTCATAATTCTGTGAGGGTTAAGTACTGTTATTGTCCCGATGTTATAGATGTTATAGATGAAAGAACAAGAATTTCAGTGAGCCTACATAGCCAGACTTTGAACTTGTGTTCAAAGACAATACCATTAGCCATGGCACATACCGCCAGTTCAGTTATTACATAAGTACATACAAGAGAAACATAAGACCTGGGCTATTTCTTCTTAGGAGTCTGTAATCTTGACAGTCAGATAATATATACAAAAGAAAAAGAAAAGGATGAAGAAGGATCAATATTCTTTGAGAATGATGAGGGCAACAAATGTACAAATGTGCTTGACAAAATGTATGTATGTATGCATTGTGATAACAGTTGTACAAAAAAATTTTTTTAAAAAGTTGTACAAGCCCCTAGTAAAATGATTTAAAAAAACCAACCAAAAAACCCTACATTCCATAAAGAAATGTTATTCAAGTTGTATGATTCATAATACAAGGAAGCTCTATAAGACTTAACCCGAACGATGAAGTCATTCATTCGGAAGAGAGAATTTACAATTGGGAAGACAGAAAAAAAAATCAAAGTAAACCAAACATTTGAAAATGAAAACATAAATTAAACTTCAAAAAGGTTAATTTTAATGTTACCATGGTGACTGACTACAATAAAAGGTATACTGTAAGCCTGAGCAGATACACCTCCATATTTAGTAGGAACACACCATTCCACTTCAGCTTCAGGGCTCAGCCATTTGTTTTCAGCCCTATGGAAATTCAAATAGCTGCATATTGACCTGGATATTAATTCTTGACATCCTTCCTGGACTTGTCCACAAACACTGGTATAATGTACACATGCTACTCTCACACTCAAATCAGTAATAAGAATAAGGTTTATCACTAAAATTTATTGTTCATAGCTGAGTATTTTCAAATATATATCCTCCTCGATATGTTTAAAGTGAGAAACATTCCTACCTTAAAATGGTATTCATCACTTGAAATGTAAATGTGTAATTCTTATTCAGAGTTGAATGATGAAATAGTTATCATCATTAAAGACTCATTTTCAAATAAAAATAATTATCATGAGAAGATTAGGGAAACTGGTACACTGATGGTGCACGAAGCGAGATCCCTTTCAAAGGACGTTACTTTGAGCGCTGACGTCATTCAACACAGATTGTTTGTACCTCTGTGTATATACACTGTGATTTACAAAGTGTACAACAACCAACATCCCCTCCACGAGCTATAAAGGACAGCTGGTTATTCAAACCAGCCCATGAGAAAAGGAAAAAGTTCTAGTAGGCAATTCTTCACAGTGTGCGCTAATAAATTTGCAGTGAATGGGAAATAAACATTTAAGTGGATCATTCTGGCAGACGATAAACACGAACGTTCCTACTAAATATGGAGGGATCACTCTCATCTACGGTAGCGATCAAGCTTTAAAAATTTGGCTGCGCCCAATGAAACCGGAGACTATCTTATGGGGGGAGGTAGCTCAGCTTTCTTCTTCTCTAACAGGGGTCCACTCCGTGATTTGTCACAGTTGATGTATGATCACGACAACACGGTGATTTCAACCCTCGGCCACGCGGCTGCCTGACAGGAGGGGTGTGCGGAGAATGTCACTGACAGTCTGGTGGCTTTGCGGGACTATATTGAAACAGCTAAAAAGAAACCCGAAAGTAAATACAATGGGAAGGGAAGGGAGCCCTTTGGGGGAAGGGGTGGGGGAAGTTACTGCCACCTAGGTAGGGAGGTAGGTAGGTAGGGAGGGAGGGAGGGAGGGAGGGAGGGAGAGAGAGAGAGAGAGAGAGAGAGAGAGAGAGAGAGAGAGAGAGAGAGAGAGAGAGAGAGAGAGAGAGAGAGATTGATTCTGTGTCCACACCTAGACAGTCCGGAGAAGTCGGCTTCCTCTTCTTCACACCGTTCGTCGAGCTCTTTCAAAGCTAAGGTCACGTCCTCTTCACAGATTGACCCAGGGTAGCTCTCGGATGCCAGAGGATCTGGCATTTCTGTTTCTTCTAAATCAAGAATTCCCGGGCCCACCAGAGAGTCCTGCTGCTCTTGCAGTAGATAGGACCCCTCATCTTCAAAGCCTGTAATAGCCTGTTCCTCTTTTAATCGGGGACTCATATCCTGTAAAACAAGCACGTGCTCGCATTAACGTCAAACACACGCAAGTGGAAAGTGTATTACAGCATATAACGTGTCTGTGGTGGCGGAGTGGACTTCCAGCTGCCAGCCACGGCACAGGTGCAGAGTGGCACTGCTCCCTTTCAAAAGCAGATCGCCAGGTCAGCTGCTGAGCACCTCTAGGTAGACTGCAACGACCAACCTCTTGGCTTCAACCATTTGAACCAACCAGGCACCCCTTACAAAATATTACATGAGACTATTTCGTAGACACAAAACTATTTAGATTATTTTTAAAAGGAGTTTTTCATAACAGAATAAATGACCTTTGCCATCAGTCAACTTCTAGCAGGGCATATTTACATGGTCTAATTTTCCGTTGGCTTTGGACTCTGACTCAAATTGTTTCTTGAATGGCTGCAGGTTGACAAGGGGTTTAAGTTGAAAGGTATCGCTTATTGTCAGGTAGACTCATGGAGGCAATCTTTGGTTTTTATAAAGGGGGAATTAGCTATTTACTTAGAAATGTGGCCCCCTGTGCAAGTTAAAACGCCCTATCCCTACTATGAATTTTCTTATTTGAAATAGCAAATGCAATGAATTCTGGATACAAGAAGGGGAGCTATTTCAGAATAGCAAATGGCCCTGCAGGGCCATCTACCAAACATAGGTACTGGCTATCCTGGAAGGACGCTGATTTAAACAACTCGGCAGCTTGCTGTTTGTTACAACACACAAATAGAACACTTTGGATAGAGATATAACAACTGTCTTCAGGAACTTAAGCTACAATAACTCATATCAGGTTTGAGTACTAATCATATTTCAGCACTGAGTTAAATCCTGGGAAACAATAGGAGAGTTTAGAATGTTGCACTTTGGGACATGCCTTAAATCACAAGCTCATTTATCAAAAAGAGGGGCTAGTTTTCGAACCCTACGCAAACAGTGATGAAAAGTATGTGTCCCTGAGTGAATTGGTGGTTTTCCCTTCCTTTCCGCTAGAACAGTGCACACAGAAGCTCACATGCCGTCCCAGCAGCCAATTTTGACTCTACACAGACTATGTCAATTAAGTTGAGGGGTGGGGGGAGCACTAGGGGTCTCTGCTGGCACAGTGGTTATATGCATGGTCATCTGTTCGAAATTACCGCTGGTAATTTCTCTCCTTGGGAGAAAGAAGAGGCTTTCTACTCCCGAAAAGAGTTACCGTCTCGGACACCCAAAGGGGCAGTCCTACCATGTCCTTTAGGGCTGTGGTGAGCTTGAATTGACTGGCTGGCAGTACACATAAGTACATACACTGTATATAAGGGGTGTCACAGTCTCAAGGGCAGTTTCTGTTGTACTTTCCCTGCTGTGAAGTCATCAGGGTGGTTCTCGTCTCCCTTTTATTATTGGTGGTTAAAGTCAATCTTCCCTTCCTGGACATGAAAAGTGAAGTGCAGGTAGACCAGCCCGCTCTTTTGCTTTCCCAACTCTGAAGCCCAGGATTTGGACCCCATTCTGCTCTGGGTGTGCCAGGAGGATGCATTTATACTTCTTGTGATTTAGCCCAATGTTTGACAGCGATAGGGAGTAGAGCGTGGCAAAAGCAAGGTGAATCTCTGAAGGACTACCCCGGGGACTACCAGCATTGAAAGAAGGGCAAGTTCAAACCTGGCTGAGGGCACCAAACCCAGTCTCTTGGGACGAGATGGCATATGACCCTTTGACAGACCTGGGTGAGGCCTGGTATTCCAGGTGAAGAAACAGAACCCAGCAGAGGGTTTTATAACCAAAACGAAATAAAAACAAGATTTTGTAAAAGAAATTTAAAAAAGACCACAGGAAACCAAAATGTATTACGAAAGAACACAGCTTCGGATCCAGTTCATCAGGAAAATAAGCTGATGTTCCAAAGTCTTCAGACTATGCCTTCTATATAACATAGCATTCGTTCTTTATAGCTTCATATCTAATATTCTATATAATCTAGTTGAAGTTCCCATCTGATTTTTTTTTAAAGACTTGGCCATTAGTGTAACGCTTTAGCAATTTGGAAAGAAATTATGTGGTAGTGTGAGACTCTTTCTATATCAAGAGGTTTTACTGGTGTTAAAAGTTCTACACTAATTAAGATGCTATTTCAAACTCTTAAAACATTCATATTGTTAGATCCTTTGTTATTTCCAATACCCTTTCTTTTTATTAGTCATATCTATATTCAGCTGCCATTTGTTCTCGAATACACGCCAAGAAAGATGTTTCATCCATAATTAATAATACATGTTGGCAATTTCAAAAACTTCCTAGATATGGTGAAGTGACTTTGGGGCTCATGGCATCGATTGTGGTGGGCATGGGTACGTGAGCAAACCCAACCGTCGTGAACACTTTATTAGAGAACGGCATGCGTGTGTACACAGACACACACACACACACACACACACACACACACACACACACACACACACATTCTTTGTGACACCCAAAGATTTGGTTCTTAAAATAGGGAATTTGTGTCACTCATTGTGGGGGGAGGTAGATGCTAGCAGGCATCTTCCCTGAGGGTGATCAGTTGCCAAACTACAGTGGGCTCTGCTCCCTGCTGCTGGGGACAATGGACAGGCTCCTGTAGGCAGAGTTCACACCCTACTGATAATGGTTCCTATGGAGACCCAGGGAACAGGTCAGTTATAAACTGCCATCCTAAATCTAGGCTCCGCCCATCTTGCCACATGTATAAATCTAGGCTCCACCCATCTTGCCCCTAATCGCTCTTCCTATTGCACGTATGTCCCTAGACCACCCCCTCATTGCTGTATAACCTAGAGTGTAACCCCTTCCTGTGACCTATGTCTTTACCTGTAATTAGTGGGTTTGCACACCCCAAAGGTATATAGGCCTGGGTCAGCAATAGAGAGCTCTCGCTGGGCTCTCGATGGTCCTGCTTGCTTGCCTCTCTTGCCCCTCCCCTCTCCTCTCCTCCTTCCCTTCGCCCTCTCTCCACGGGGACCACCAAGTGGGGCTGAGGTGAGCAATTCTACCATGTAATGTGTCTGACTGCGTTATTGTAATCTCTCTCCTCTACTGCTCATGCTCTCGATGACTTTAATATAATATATATATCTCAACCGTACAATTGTGCATTACTGAACCTGAGATTAGCAGTGGGGGGCTGGCTCCTCCCATCCTCCCAAACCTTAATACTACAACTCATGGACTGGATTTCGCGCTATTTTAAACCCTAGCAGCAGCCCAGGGTGAAGGTTTCTCGAATTCACACAAGTGAAGCACTTGACCCCCTGAGAGCACAGAGTGCAGCCTGCCGCGGACACCTGGGCTGCAATTGACTCGTTCGCTCTTCTCTGTGTGAGTTCGCTCTTCTCTGTAGTCACACGAGTGAAGGGGAAAATGCAAATAAGTAAACAGCTGATGAAAGGATTCTTTCTCCTAGCTGAATTCTTTCCCCCCACCTATTTTGAGTGGATTAGGCATAAAAATTGGGCCAATGCCTCTGACCACAAGAACGATTCTTTTCCGGATATTCTTGGGTGATGAGTTTCATGTCAGCCCCACTAGTTCTAAGGGAAATACTACGGGATACGATTTTAAAATCCCCATTCATTTTAGTGACGTTTGCTCGCGTGATTCCAAAGGATCCGCTTTCCATGCTTACTTTTCATTCGGTCTTCTAGTCACTCTCTCCTAGGAAAAGCTTCTCTGAACTTCCAGAGTGAGAGATTTTATAACCAAAACGAAATAAAAACAAGATTTTGTAAAAGAACTTTAAATATGCTGTTTTTCTTACAAAGGTATCCCTAGTACCAATCTGCCGCATTCCATTGTTTTGAATGAGAGCACCTACTGTGTTTCTTGTAGTATGGACTGGATTAATAGCTTGCAGTTCAAGCTTACCTAGGGAGCCCTCCAACACGAGAAAGGCAAAAAGTCTACTTAATGCTTACCTCTAAAGCAAGCCACTTCTCTCAACTTTTTAATTGTTAAAACTTTAAATATTGGTAAAAATAGGCACAGCAGAGCACGCATTCATTCATCAGTTCCTGAAGCCAATTTTTCGTGTCCATGAACTCTTGGTCCAGGCCCTCCTACTCTTGCTGATAGTCTTCAAGTTCATCTCCTTATCGTAACCTCTTCCCGCCCACCCTCCACAGTCTGATCATGGGGTCTTGGCTAAAACACAAAGCAGATTGCTTCTCTCCCCACTAGCAAGCACCTAGACTCTCCTGTGCTTCATGTGGCTGGCCTAGGACCTATAGTCCATGGTCCACCCAAAAAGCAGAGATTTAAAAATAAACACAAGCAGATCACATCCTTTTCTTGGTTTCCCGTTGTGTGGCCCCCAATACCTACCCCAAGGGTGGACCAGCCCACCCCTGGGATTCCATCCCCCTTCCAGCACTCTCTCACGTTCACTCTGCACCAGCCCGACTGTTCTTCAGCTGCACTAGGGTCTTTAGAACAACTGTGCCTAGAACACGCTTCCTCTGGATCTTCAAGGGCCTGGCTCCTCGATCACGGAGGCCACTTGAAATGCTGGCCTCTAACTGTCCTGGAACCTCGGTCTGTTGGGTAATCTCAGCAGCTAGGACTGAGTCTAGCACATGACAGGTGTTAACAAACACCGGTTAAATGAAGGAGTGCACGCTCTGGGTTCCCATCTAGGTATCGTGTATGCTGTGGCACCTAACAGGTGCCAACTGAAAGAAACGCCTTCACAGATTCCAGGCATCTCAAGAAAAAGCCTAAATTCTCCAGTGTGGCATATAGGACCCTTCTTTCTTTGACCCTCCTCATCTACTGCTCCTCATCCTGCTCCCATTTTATTCTCCAGAAAGCTCACGTTTACGGCTGCTACTTGAACTGACCATAAAACTGCACGGCAGCTGCCAGTCTTTCTCCACAGACTCCCTCTGGTCTGAACTGCCCATCATCTCGAAGCCTGTCCTCTGCTCTCTAGTGCAGAACCGACCGGTCCTTCCTTAAGCCTTGAACAATGCCTATTATTGAGCTGTTAGGCCTGAAGGGTAATCCTCACGCTACCTCCCCTTTTAAAAACCTTTTGGTCTCTCTGAATATATTGTAAAATCCTTTGGAACAGGGGCAATACCTTGTCCATCTTTCTAGCACTGACTAGAATGCCTGGTGTATAGGGCACCCTCAGTCATACTGGCTACACGGAATTGTCTGCCCTCACCCACCAGCATGGCTCTCTTAATAACTGCTGAGAAGGTGGCCCAGAGAGAGGCCTTCCTTGCAGAACACATTCCCTGCTTACTACTGAAGAGGGTTCAAACAGGGCATGTAAACTGTCGACCAAATAAGGACAAGAGAATTCAGCTTCCTGAAACAATACCTAAGAACTAGACTGACAGTCTAGGCATACTGGTTGGGCTGAGAGCCCCAAGGCCAGCAGTTTTAAGCCGCCAGCCTCATTGTGGGAAAAGGATGAGGCTTTCTATTCCCGCTAAGAGTTACGGTCTTAGAAACCCACGGGGCAGTTCCACCCTGTCCTATATATAGGGCCACGAGGAGTTAGGATCAACTCCCTAGTGTTTGGTTTTTTGGTGAATGCTGCAAGTTAATTAACACCAACAAAAATATGGTATTTTCCTAATACTCACCGAGGTATAAACACAAGTATGACAGAGCTGTAACAATGAGATCATTAAAGGAAAAAAGGTATCTATAATAGTCTTTAAAAACAAAAGAAACACTGAGAAAACTAATACTTACTTAGTTTGGGTCAGTCATTAGCTTGGAATCTGGCTGACTCCTCACAGGCCTTTCCAAGAAAACATACTACTAGCGTGGTTCCAGAAGTGTTTTCAAAATAGAGTTTGGATTTAACCCAACTGCTAACAGAGCTGGCCTGAGGTTTGATCCTGTCAGAGCACCAATCACGTCCACCCACATAACAAAGCATAGAGAGCGGCAAAAACACAAGCGGTCCTTCAAAGAAAATACGATGCTACGGGAGATGCTCACCACCCCAGAAGCGGCCGGTCCATGACCCTAACCACATTCTGCAACACAAGATGCTCATTAAATAAACACTCAAGGTGATTTGTAACCTGCAGGTCATTTCCTTAAGCCATCAACTTGACATCGATAGATCAATTAAGTCATGTTTTTTTCCCCCTTCTTTTAAAAAAATCTAATTTGTCTATTCCATTTAGACATACAGGTTAGAAATACCAGAAACAAATCAAATAATTAAGGTCTCAGATGGAAACTCTTGTTGACAGAGAAGCGAGGGCTGGGGCAGAGAGCTAAAAGGAGCCCAGATTGGCCATGCACCAGCTTCTACTTTGCCCCACCTCAGGCAGCTGGCTGTTAGCGTTATCTAGAGAAGGCTCCACGCTTGGGGTCTCTCCTCTGATTGGAAGTACGTCCTCTGTGGTGGCACTGCTGGCGGAGTCTTGCGACTGCAGAAGTGAATCGGGATGGTCAGGCAGGGTCTCGTCCGTGACCGAGTCACTGTTTAGCTGAACGGAGAGAGTACAACGAAGGATTCATTTGTGAGTCAGCCACGGTCAGGGGCCACGAGAGACATTTTCGGTAACAAAAGGCATTCGAGGGCAAGAGCTTCTTTGACAACAGACCATGACACCCCCCACCGCCCCCGACCCCCAGTCCTCCCATTGATTCTCTCATAGACACTGGCAATGTGAGTCGCTAAACCATTCAGCGGAACCAAAGGCACGGTCTAAATTTCGCTACACAAAAACTAAGTCGTTTGAACTACGACCCCCGCAGAGATCTCTGTTGCAAAGCCTAACTAACTGCTAGGCTTGTGGTTAGAGTCCCATTTGTGAATGGATGTCTTTGTTATGCCAATGAGGCAGCTTAGGTGTAGGGCATATCTTGAGTCTAGGAACCCCAGAGGGCTAGCAACTGAACTGCTAACTACAAGGGTGGCCAGTTAGGCCTGCAGGTGCTCTGAGGGAGTAAGAGGGAAGGATGTAGGCTGTCTGCTCCCATCAAGATTCCAGCCCTGGAAATCCCAGGGGAGTGCCACTCGGTTCTGGAGGGTCACTATGAGTTGGGATTGCCTGGATGCCAGTGAGTTTCGTTTCCTGGTTATCTTGAGTCAATCTGAGAGATGTCAGCAGAGCAAGAGATGGCGAAGAAGGATGGCAAGCCCTGTGAACATGGCCCAGACCAGGGCCTCCTGCAGAGCCTACCGAGAAAAGGAGTCCCTTAAACTCGGCAGCTGCAAGTTGGACTGCTACAGCCTCCTACCCTGCGAGAAAGTAAACTTGTTTGTGACAGCTAGCCACATAGGGTCTTTCTGCTACAGCAGGGCACTAGAGAACTAACTACCATAGTCACCATGTAGCCTTGAACCCCAGTTTACATTTCTGTGGCCCCCCTTTTGTGTTTTTAATGAGTCTAAGGGTGGCTTCTCAAGCAGCTGTATTACTGGGAAAGTAGACTCACGGTTCATCATTTAAGTAAAAGTCAATAGGGCACAATTTCAAAAAGGCAAGAGGCTCGAGGAAAAGAACACGGGGTGGCGGAATGGCACTGTGCACCCTGACCCATGGCCCTCACATTGATTCTGACGCACAGCGACCCCACAGGGCAGGGTAGAACTGCTCCGCGGGGTTGCTGAGACCAGACGTTTTTTGCGAAGGTAGAAAACCTCATCTTTGTCCCTTGTTTGGTGGGGTTGGTGCTTTTGAACGGCTGACATCCAGTGGGGTTTGTTTTCTTTCAATAGTAGCAGAGAGAATGGAAAAGCAATACAACAACAACCAACAACTAACAACAACAGCATAGCCTTGTTTAGTTTGGAGCCCTGGTAATGTCCCAGGTCCACACTCATGGGGCTACCAAGCACAATGTCTACATAAGAGCTGTCCTGGTGGAGCTGTCCCATCAGGTCACTGTGAGTTGGGACTGAGGCAGCGGCAGTGGGCACGCAGTTTAGTGTGAAAACAGGCATTCATCCAAGCTGTGCAGCCTTTGCTGGGGCCTGGTGGTCACTGACTGGCTCCTTAGCTCCTGCAGCATGGCGACTGCTCCACCCCCTTCTCTTTCTTCACGCCCCCACCCGCTACATCAACCCAGTGATATTTCTCAACAAACGCTCAAAGCGTGCAGCCTTCATGTCCTCGGTTTTGCATTGTCTGAAGAAAAACACAGTCGACAGAAGCCCAAGGGGCTCTAAGAAATTCGTGCAAAAAGAGAAGGAAGAGAATGGGATTTTCCCAAACTGAAAAAAAACAACAACCAACAAACAAAAACAACCCTTTGCTGTCTCATTCTTGGGACACATGTCAGAGCTTCTAGGCAAATGACCTGACCTTGAGCATGATCAAGGTCATGTCCTCTGTGTCCAGGCTAGCTGGGAAAGAAAAGTGGGTGGCGAGTCTGGCAGTGTGGATGCCTAGGCTGATCCCAGTCAACCAAAGTAAAACCGCTTCAGATGAGGGCCTTGACTAGGAGCCAGCACAACCCCACGATGGCGAGGGGAGATGCAAGGTAAAAGGAAACCAGGTCTTACTGCAATGGGGTGGGCAGGTCTAGTTCCGACATAAGTAATACAGTGCCCATCACCACAGCCATTTTCTGTGTTCATCTTAATGTGTGCTCATGAGAGACACAAGGAGATGAAGATAGGAAAGTCCAGAACCAGAAATTACTAAACTGGCATAATGAGGGAAATGGGATTGATCGGCTGTCATTGTACATAAATAAAAGCGACCGTGTACCATTTGTGTGCGGGACAGGATCTGGCTGGCGGTGAGCGCCGCTTCTTCTTCCGAGGACTCGTCCGTATCCTCCTGGTTCGTCAGGTTCAGGCTGGGGGTGCTGCTGGAGCACTGGTACTCCTGCAGGGACGGCGTGTCCCCTTTGTCGATGCTGTCCAGCGAGCGCCTGCGCACTCCCCAGTTGAAATTGTCCATGCTCTCTCCCTGTTTTCAAAAAGCAAGACACGGATTTTAACACCTCCTCAGCACATGCCTACGAAAGCAGTCAAGTGCAAGCTACCAGGAAAACAGAGCCCACGATGCACAATACTTAATGCCTCCTATGCAGTTTCAATCAGCCCCTCCAACCCTTCAAACTTTTGACACATTTTGAAGTATCTAGATGAAAAAGAGATCCAAAGATCTGGCGGATAAGCTGCTTTAAATAAAGTGATTTCTCTTGGTTTTCTATCTTGTATTAATAGGGACCAACTAAATCTATTATCTATGTCATTTCTAGTACACACACACACACACACACACACACACACACACGAATGAGACTACGAAGAAGAAAACACATTACAAGTCACACCAAATAGACAATCACAACACCAGGCTGCAACTTACCTGCAGCTCCTGGTTAGCAAAAAGGAAAATACACAGAATTAGAAAGAACAAAGACAAACATTGAAATATACACTACACTTGGGGGTAGGGGGTAGGGGGGACACTGTTGACTTCTCAGACCCAAAGACTGACTCAAACACGGGGTTAGGTTCTGCGCAGGAAGCCAGCACGAGAGCCCACCCACTTCTTCTTTTATATTGTGAGAAAAGTCAGACAGACACCAAAAACAACATTTCTGGGATACACTTGGGCAACACAAACTTTTAGGAAACCTTCAGTTTTACACACATTTGATACTTGGTGATACGGTGCAAAACCGACTTAAAATAGCCACATTCAGTTGACGACATACAGTCACAGTTTAGCCAGAAGGATGGCTCTCGCTAAAGTCAGTGGTCACGCCCCGCTCCTTAACCCCCAATGGATTTCCTATAAAATAGGTTAAAAGCAAGACCGCAGCTCTCAAAACAAAACCTTTGCAGGTTTTGCTAAAGGTCAAGGGAAAGCAAGGCAAATTTCATCCCACTGTGGGGATTTAACAATGTTCCATTTCTGCTATGCTAAGCTGATCCTCCTTTTGTGAGGATATAATCCTTACACTCTCTTAAGACCTGTGGTGAGAAATTACACAGAATGTTGCCAGCTAAATATGATTCGTTGGCCTCTTTCTAACTCAGGAAGTGATTATTCAGAATAGAGGCTTTCCTTTTTTTTTTTCTTCTCTCTTCTGACGGCAGAGGAATACTTTGTTCAAACGACATTTCAGATGAAGTCAGTTGTACAAAGCTGATACCGAGGAACAAACGAACAAAGAACCCAGACAGCCGTGCATGCAGAAGGGTGGCCAGGAATTTTAGCCATCTGACCCTTCGATCTTGCTGTGAGCTCTTCCTTGGGTGGCCGGGGCTCTGCAGGTCAGGGTGTGGAAAGCACTTTTCTTGCATATTCATTCCAAGCCTGATCAGGCAGCAGTAGCAGGCCAGCAGCAGCCCTCAGTGCACACTGGTGGTGAGTGATGGAGACGCTGCCGGCACTTCAAGCTGGAGCTCTCTAAGAAGCCTGATTTGTAGCAAAGCATTCCCAATGACCGGTTTTCGAAACAGACTATGCCCAGGTTTCCGAAAATCTAAATTTGATCTGGCCCATTTATGAGGGATAAATTAACTTCCACCTCTGAAATTACTGAGACAAAAGAGTTTTGTGAGCCACCCTGACTAAGGTTCTTTGCAAAAGCCACATTTACTACTAGTGACATTTCAGAGTGTTAGAGGAGTTTGGTCTGCTAACCACGAGGTCAGTGGTTCAAAACCACCAGTAGCTCCTTGGAAGAAAGGCGAGGCTTTCTATTCTTGTAGAGTTACAGTCTCGGGCCCCCGCAGGGGCAGTTTGGAACTGACTCGATGGTGCCGAGAGGAGTTTGTACAGCATTTACCGTGCTCTTAAGCAAACACCAAAAATAACCTCACCATTTGAACAATGGCAAGAGTTTAACTTTAGAAGTTATCCATCTACACCGGAAAAAATCAAGTAACTGCAGAAGAATTCACAAAGTGCCCACAACCCGGAGGTGGGGCAGTAGATCTCTTCTGCCCACAGCACTACCCTGCCTGGCTGAGCAAGCCTGTTGCAGGAGCTACTTTTCTACAGCATACTTTCAAACCGTGGGTTGTACGATTAGTTGTAAGAGTGGTGACCTGCCCCTTCTGCACATAATGAGATGAAATGGAATGGAAGGTGATAGGAAAACACTGAGTCAAAGCAGATTCATAGCAACCCTACAGGACAGGGTAGACCTGCCCCTGTGAGCTTCTGAGGCTGTAGCTCTTTATGCGAGTACCAAGCCCTGGCTTTCTCCTGAGGAACGGCTGGTAGCTTCAAGCTACTGACCATGTTAGGAGTGCAAGTCATGGCCACTAAGCCAACGGGGTTCCTGTAGCATATACAGTAAGGCTATATTTGTACTTAATTTGGGGAAACTTTTATTTTAGGGGATGTGTGAATATATATATTCTTGGAGGATGTGAGGTAAAAAATGTATCAACCATTAATTTCTAAAGTTATTTTCCTATACAGTGCTGAATAGTAAGCCTTTCTTACGCATCTATTGACCTATGTAAGTATGCCTTTGGGACTATGCAAATAGTTAACTATCATATAGTCCCAACATAGAGCATGACTACATAGGAGCATCGAAAGCTTCTTAGAGAGCATACAGGCACTCGAAGGGCTCTAAGGCACCATGGTCATAGCTTCATATCTGCAGGTAAGGCTGAGGAAATCAGAGACGGCATCCTCAATGCCCATACTCACCTTGTGGAACTCTCACACCAACTGTGTGATGGGGCCTTTAGATCCCATACCTCCCTCTTCCAGTCGGGCCAAAGCAAACATCCCTTCAGGAGCGGTGATGGATGAAACTGAGCCACAGCACTGAGCTTACACTATTTCAAAAATGTTATATAAAGGACACACTAGAGACACTTGTTATCATGGCACTTGGGGTTTCATTATTTTTGACCACTATGCTATGAACTATTCAAGTTAGGGAGACTGTCATTTAAGGGGCTGGCAGCTATAGAAACGGGCTCCAAATAGCCTAATATGGGGGTTCCCTGGTCTCCTTGCCACTGGGATTGCTTCAGAAACTGGCATGTGGTCCAACTTGTGCCATTGAGATGTGACAGGAGGTCTGTCAGAGAGTTTAGGAAAGGAGCGTCTTCATATTGATAGGAGCTGCTCTAGAGGTGGCTCCTACTGCCTGGGAGGTCTGTCACAGCTGTGACAAGCATGCTGCCACTGACGGGGACATAAAAGCGGGCTCTAGAGCCCTTCAGGAGACAAAGTCCTTCAGAGCAGAATGCAAGGTGTGATGCTGGCCTTCCCCACTTCGTGAGCAACCCACGTTTTGAGACGGATTTTCCGTTTAGAAAGCACCTACAGCAGACCCAACGGTCAAGGGCAATGTGGGCAGCATCCCACCGAGGTGAGGGGCCCTTGGGTAGGACATGAAACCAGACTTTGAGAGTTGGCTCCGTCATGTGGAACACAGTGGTTAGGGACCGGGAGAATCCAAGTCATTTGTCACGGGAAGAGTTCTTGAGAACTGAAGTCCCCCACCTGGTCAGTGTAGTGGTTAGGTGCCATCCTTTTGAAAACCATGTTCGATTAATTTTGATGTCTTCTTACTCCTTGCCTGAACGTTCACTTGTATGCTCATGCAAAAACCTTTAGGGCCGAGCACATCTTCAAATTGTTTTGGAAGGAATGTATTTTTTACACTTAACTTTTTCAGAGAGAAAAGAGGAGAACTCAAGTATTCCCCACTTAACTTCAGGTGTCTTCTGTTACTGATTAATGAGACTAATCGTATGTAGTTCCTAATTTATACCTTTAACCTTCGGTCCTTCCACTGACCCGGATAAGGAGCGATCCCATGGTTAAACCCTTCGGGGTCATACAGCTAGCTGTGACAACCGCACAAGTCATGCCAGCGAAAGGCTCATCCTTACCTCTGCATCTTCCAGTTCCACATCTAAAAAGTCAAAATCCTTGAAAACGCCAAACTGCTGCTCGCTGCTGCTGTCTTCCACCGCGACCTCTTCCTCCTGGATGATGTCTTCTGGCGCAGCAATTAGGCTGGTCTGCTGGTCCCCTACTTCCAAATCCTCGTTGGAAGAAAATACCACCTGAACGCCACAAAGACAAGAGAAAACACAATCCACCGGTCAGCTCTGTCGCTCTGCAGAGGAGAGGCATCGGTGCCCTGGTGTGTCACTGCACCCTCAGCGAACTCAGGGCTTTAGTTTGGTCTTCTTGCAAAAGTCTATCTGGTCGAATTCCCAATTATCGTCGTGGCCATGGGTCAAATAGACACCCGTCTTATTATCCCCCCCCCGCCGTTTCTTAGGTAATAAGGTGAAGTTAGAAAAAGATGCTCGTGGCTACTCACAGACGGATTCTTCGGGAGGCCAGACTCTGGACCGCACAGGGATAGGACGTTCATTAGCTTTTCTCTTGTTCGCCGCTAAAGCAAGGGAGCACAGCAAGAAGCGAGCATTAGGATTACCCACGGACCCTGTGCCACGTTCTCACGGACGCAGTTGGGTGGCCTCATCTGATGAGGGTCCCGCTGCTCCCTTGGTTCCTGTACCTGTGACAACTGCGGCCTCTTCCAGCTCACGGGAACCAAGGCATTAGAATTGGAGCCTGAAGACGTTGACGAAGTGCTTCGAGTGACGGCGATGACTTTCGGTTTCCCGTTTCTCCCGGCTGCACTGTGCTGGTCCCCGTATTTGTTTCCAATGATGGGTGTCTGCACAGAAACAAAGGACCAGAGCTTGATGAAAATTCTCTCCCTGTAAAGCGAACCAGGCAAGTAAACAACAAGGGCACAAGGAGGCAGATTACACAGCATGAAATAGATGCTACAAAAGTCAAAGGGGATGATGTCTTCTTAAAATGCTCTTGGTCAGTTATGAGAATTTTTTGGAGATGACAATTTGATATCTGACAAGGCGACATGTGAGCTTACTCTTATTTTAAACATGTATCTGTTTTAAGTTCCATTACACCTCCACTGTTCCCTTTCATGATTAGAAAGTATTATCTTTTCGCAGAAAGCTAAGAGACGACAAACAAGGTTTAAAAAACAAAACAAAACCCGGTAAGCTCACCATTCGGGCATAGTACCGGCTAATATTTTAGTGGGTTTTTTCCTCCATTAATTTTATTACATGGACCACAATAATGTTCTTCAATAAATATTCATGATAAGCAACAATATCAAAGAGGAAAATGGCTTTGTGGCTTGTTATTACAAATCAGATGTGTCCGATATCCAAAATTTATTTCACTAACATTTTATGAAGGCTCCCAAGCTCACTTACATTTATTTGGCTTTGTGAAGTGTTTGAAACTGTAACTGAAAAAATGCAATCCAAGCTTATTTATGTTACCACCCAAGTCCCTTTGTAAATTGGCTTGCTGCTTATCTCCCTTGCTTCTACGAAGTTTTCTCCCTCCTAAACTTCACCCTCTAGCCAAACTGAACTTGCAGTAGGTTCCCCAAACACACCGTGCGTTTCCCACAGACATAGGTGTCCACATTTGTTCTTCTCTTTGCATAGGACGGCCGCCGTGGGGGGCTGCAGACTCCGAGACCACCACATACCCCACTATGGAACGAACGAACGTTCAGCATGCCAACCGTAATCTGGATGAGCGGTTGTCTCCCCAACCCACGTGAGGTGCCTGGCCCTCCAGGATTCCTCTCTGGACCTCCAGTGCAGCGGTTCTCAACCTTCCTGATGCCGCGACCCTTTCATACAGTTCTCATGTTATGGTGACCCCCCAGCCATAACATTATTTTTGTTGCTACTTCATCACTGTCATTTTGCTACTGTTATGAATCGGGAGACTCCTGTGAAAGGTTTGTTTGACACCCCCCCAAAGGGGTCACGACCCACAGACTAAGAACCACTGCTCTAGTGCCTATGGATATAGCAGGCACTTACGAATTTGTACTTAAATAAGAATTAAGCATATCAGAACTTCTGAAATCTCACATCACTACTTTAAGGGAAATAATTGTTACAATATTCATTTCTGTTTTGGGTGGGTGTGGGGGGTAGCAACCCAAATACCAGGTTCTCCATATTTCCAAGATGTATATAATTTCTACGTGTTAGAAATTATCAGATAATATTAGCTCATTATCCAGTGAATATATTTAATATCTTTAAAAGAGCCATACTTAAGTGTTAACTAATATTAATAGTTATTAATTTCTAATGTCAAAATCACTCTGCAATAATATATATTTGGACACACACTCAATCTTAAGAGCCCTAGTGGTGCAGCAGTTAAAGCACCCCACTGCGGACTGAAAGGTTGGTGTTTGGAACTAGTCCCATCTCAGAAGGAAGATGGGGCAGTCTGCTTTCATGTGGATTACAGCCTCGGAGACACCGTGGGGCAGTTCTACCTTGTCCTAGAGGGTCACTTCAAGTGGGGTAGGGTTGGTTACGCATTGGGCTGCGATTTGCATGGTTGGTAGTTTGAAACCAGCAGCAGCTCTGCAGTGGGAGGAAGACCGGACTTTCTACCCAGTACAGTTACCTAAACAGCCCCAGTCTCAGACAGTCCTCGCTCTGAGCCAGGACCGACTCAGTGAGTTCCAATCCAATTCTAGTGAATGGGACGGGAAGTAATGAAGTCTATCTCTCTTTTATCTTTCTCAGTGGCCCCTGCAACGCACTGACTCAGTAAGTTCCTTTTTGAAAGATCCCTCCTTTGGCTGCTGCCGAAAACCCAGTTCATCTGTTCTAAGACCACTCAAGAGAGGCCTTAGGTGCTGGAGAAAAGGGGAGGGAGGGTTTCCTGTCCGGGTCAGAGGAACCCCGGTGGTGCAGTGGTTATGTGTTGGGCTGGTAACTGAAGGTCAGCAGTTCGACCACCAGCCAACCCATGGGAGAAAGACAGGGCTTTCTAGTCCTGCAAAGACTTACAGACTCAGTAACATGCAACAGAAGTTCTACCCTGTCCTACGGCGTCACTGACTTTGAACTGACTCGACGGGAGGGAGTGCACGCTTGCCAAGGTCAGAGACAGTCACACGAGATTTATAAGGAATCCATGGAGGCCCCAGGTTCTCTTCTGGAGCGATGGGACCTGCCTCTGTCACCCTGAAAGATGAGATTCTTGGATTTCATGTTCTTTTTGCCTTATTCTTTTTTCAATGTTCCTTCCAGGGTTTCCGCTGTCTCCTTACAGGACACTAGCCAGTTGCCATGGAACAGACCCTGCCCCATGGCTTCCCGCTCTGTCAGAGTAGAAACACGTCCCTTAGGGCTCTCAGGGTTTGATTTTTCAGAAGATCACCAGGTCTTTGCTCTGAGGTTACGGTAGAAACCTTGTGGCTAACAACGGAGTGCACAGTTTGCCCCACCTGGAGGACAATACAGCCCTGAACCCAACTCAGAGTAGCAACCTTATAGAGAGCTAAGCCAAAAAAACTCGCTGCTGCCCCAGTGCTCCAGCTGACGGGAACCTATGGGCAGCTCCAACTGCCCCTCAAGGCTTCCGAGCCTGCAAATCTGTACGAGCGCAGGGAACCATGCCTGTGGCCTGTGGAACACCTGGTGGGTTTGAACACCTGACCTTCTGATTAGCACCTAAACACTTTAACCACTGAGCTACCAGGTTTTTATTATTATCCAACACTAAAACAACGCAAATGAACTCCGAATTGCTATTTCCACTCTAAGTTTCCTCTGAATTCTAATGGCCCACTGGACACGTCGATGAGAATGTTCCTTAGTCACCGCAGAACCAGCTAATCGGAGACTGAGTTCACACCCCCCCACCCCACCCCCAGCCCTGGGCCTGCTGAGCTCCACAGCCTCGCTCTCTATGGATGTTACCGACAGCCACCCAGTTGCCACCATCCTCACTTATCACCTCCTACCCTCCCTGGTTGGGGCCATGGTTAGATGCAAGGCTACTAGCAAAGGCTGGCCGTTCAAACCCACCGTGAGGCACCTTGGCAGACAGGCCTGGTGATCTGCTCCCAGAAGGCCACAGCATGAAAACATGATGGGATCGATAAGCACAGTGCTCCCTATCAGACCATGCAGTTCCTTCCTTTGGCCTTCTCTAAGCCATCCCTTCCTCTGCCATTGTGTTGTGACCGCCCCGCAGGATCTCTTCCTCACTGATTTACCTCTGTGGCACAGTGGCTGAAATGCTCAGCTGCTAACCAAACAGTTGGTAGTTCAAATCCCCCGCTGTTCTTTGGGAGCAAGGAGTGCCCGTTGGCTTCCTTAGAGATTCCACCCTTGTGAGCACTCTGCGGCAGCTCTCCTGTCCCAGAGGGCTGCTCGGTCAGAACCGACTTGATGGCAGTGAGTTTGGGCTTCCTGTTGGTTCTCCCGGCCTACTTTCCATCCTGTTGTCAGTGATTTTCTTACCAGGCAAATCCGAGTACGTGCTATTCTAGCAAACAATCCTCCTGCTTCAAATTCAAAGCCAGTGTCTAATCTGGGGAGGCAAGAGCTCCGTGACCCTGCCCCCTCTATTCCTGTATCTTATGCTGAAGATATGCTGTACTAGTTGGAAGTTTCCAGAATACCATAGGCTCTCCCATTGAACAAGCCCCCCCTCCCCCAAATGCCTTCTGTGTCTGTCTACATTATTTATCTTTCAGCACTCAGCGCACAGGTTACCTCCTTCCCCCAAACAGCTCATTCATGTGTGTTCCCAGAGTGCTTTCGGTTACTTCCACACATGTCTGTATCACAAGGTCTGTTTGCCTGTTCCTCCAAGAAACTCAGCCTCCTGGGAACAGTCACTACATCCCTCCCTCCCTCCCATGGTCCTAGCTGTCTTAACACCACATAGGAAGACCCTGGATGGCACAAAAGTAAACGCATTTGGCTGTGAACGTAGAGCCAAGCTGCAGCCCTCTGCCTGCAACCCCCCGTCCCAACACACACACACACAGTCATAGTCAGTCTTATGGAGTTCAGGTGCACACGCTGACACTCAGGCAGCCTCATCGACTCAAAAGCAACAGGTTATTTACAAATATGGGTTCAAGAAAAGCTTGTTGGAAGAAGGGATGACTAGAGACATTACTAATAGGGCACTTGTATCCACTCCTGGGCATCTTACCTCAGATATATCAAAATGAAAATCTAAGGTCTTCCCAGGCAACTCTTTGGAGACATTATTAAAAATTTTCGTGAAGGAGATCTCTGGAGAACCTATATCCCCTCCGTAGGTCTTGGGGACGTCATTGGGCACGACAAGACTTGCGGAGCGAGACACCACCAGCTTTAGGATGTTGAGGGCTTCCTTCCAGTAAGGACTCTGGTGAAAAAAGACATATAAAAATATACAAGTTCCAAATACATTGTTCACTGAGAACATACATTGTGCGGACATGGTAGATTATATCAATGTTATTTCATAAAGTAGTCCTTCCGTGTGGTATGTGTCCCCAGGGAAGATACAGAAAATAGCCGATGAGGTCATTTCTTTGAGCCTTCAGGAGGAAATACAACGGCTATTTAGTGGGTCCTACTCTGCCCCAAGGCCACCTACGCACAGCACACACAGGCTGAGTCCCGCTCCAGCCTCGCGGTTCAAGGCTACTGTGAGCCACCCATCAGTCCATGTCCGTGAGAGTTTCCCTCTTTTCTATTAACCTCGTTTAATGCCCTATTAATGGGACATCATGTCCTTCTCCAGGAACTGGTTGCTCCTGATCACGTCCTAAGTATGTAAAACAAAGTCCCATCATCCTCACTTCTGAGGAGAATTCTGGCTGTCTTTCTTCCAGCACACATTTGTTCCTTCATCTGGCCCCAAACCAAGGCTGAGGAGTCGACTCTGTCTCATAGCAACTGGACAGAGAAGAACAGCTTCACAGGGTTTCCAAAATTGTACGTCTCTGTGGGAGAAGAAAACATCACCTTTCTCCACTGCAGTGACCCGTGGGCTTGAACTGCTGACCTCATGGCTCACAGTCCGATGTTTAACCTACTGCACAAACCAGGACATTCAATATTCTTCACTAACACCTTCACGGAAGAGCATCAGTTTTGCGGTCTCCACAGTCACGGTACTGCTGTCCCAGGCACGTGAGACAAGCAAGAACGCCATGGCTCGGGACAGACACACCTTTGTCCTCAAAGCTATCACTCTGCCTTTTTAACCCTGGAAAGAAGACTTTTGTAGAAGGTCTGCCCAGTGTTGCTTGCTTTCCTAACTGCGGCCTCCATCGGCATGGAGTATGGATTAAAGTCAGATTCTTTCGTCCTTCACGAAACAATACTTTCTCTGTTTATCATGATGTGGCTTACTGGAGTGGGTTGTGCAGATCTCGGGTTCTTTTGGTTGAGGTGTAATCCACACGGATGGGTGTAGTCTTGGATCTTCCTCAGCGAGTGCGCTGTCTTCTCTACTTCGGTAAGCCGGGTGGTGCCATCTGTATGTCACAGATGGTTCATGAGTCTGTCTTTGCTCCTGATGCCACGTTCTTCTTCATAGTCCAGCTTCTCAGATGATGTGCTCAACATACAGACTGGATAACTAGGGTGAATGGATACAACTCTTCTGCGTGCCTTTTAAACCAGGTTTGTTTGAACAACTACGTAAGATTCAATGACTGCCTCTTCGTTGATGCACACATTCTACATGAGAACAATGAAGTGCATTGTCAGTAAAACAGGTAAACATCTTTCTGGTATTCCGTTTTCAGCCATGATCCATGTGACATTAGCAATGACAGACTTGAATTTCTGGCAGTTCCCTGTGGATGTATTATAACCGTTTTGGAATGATCTTCAGCAAAAATACGTGCATGTGATATTAGTGACAAGAGTCGATCATTTCTGCATTCCATTGGATCACCTTTCTTGAGAATGGGCACAAATATGAAATTCTTCTCTGGTTAGCCGAGTAGTTATCTTCCAAATTTCTTGACACAGATAAGTGAGCTCTTCACTTCTTTTTGGCTAACATCTTCAGTACATCATGGATTTGCTCCTTCGATTTCATGATAATATGCTACCTTCCGACACGGCCGACCAATTCATTTTGGTACAGTGTGCAGGGGCAGTGAATTATTTAATGTGGTTCTTCTCACTAAAGTCTTTAGCCCTCACCTAATGACCTTTCCCGGCATGGGTCTGGTAAGCAGGTGGGGGACGATACCAAGAGTATTCACCTGTGAGGAATTGCAAACAGGTTTCCCAGGAGAGGCGTTCTGCTGTGTGTAAATCAAGCCCTCGGAGGAGAGGAGATCTCATCACCAGCAAGAGCCAGGAGTAGAGAGAGTCCAATGGACCTAAGATCCCTTGGCAGTGAACTTCTTGGATCCAATGACAGCTATACCACCAGAGGAGCAAGTCAGGAGCCAGAGCATGGAGCCGAGTGATGGCCTTCCCAACCCACGGAGCAAGTCAAGCTGAGTGCCTGGGGCAGGAGGCTGGGTTGCAGAGTGGGCTGCCTCTGTGGACTCAACTGGGGACATTGAGCTTGCTGACCCATAAGAGTGGAGCTGAGTGCCTTTGGACACAGAGGCAATGAGGAATATAAGTTTTTGAGTATCTGCAGAGAGAGTTCCAAGGTAACATAAAAAGTACTCTGGCTCTCCTAACTAAATCGCTATGCATTTTAAATAAAGTTTTACTAATTTTCAGACATAGATAAGAACACAAACGCATGGCTACCCATACATTTCCATGTGTAAATTCTGCTTCCGCATGCAAATGCACCTTAAGGAGAGACAGAAATATGAACCTGGAAAGGCTCACAAAGCATTTGGTCTCTGGTAAGTCAACCATTCACAGGCTGATGTGCTTAGCAAGGCCTTGCTTAGTAGGGAAGTCAAAAATTCAGCTCAGTAATGACCAGGTGGCTTCTCTTGGTTGGCTTACATTTAAATTATGTCTGGTTTCTTCCTTTCCCATTATCTGGTGCTTCCAATCAGACACAAAAAGGCAACTCTACAACACAGACTCTACAAAGAACGCTCTGAGTCATCGTCTTCCTCTCTCCCTGCAGAATGTGTTCAAAAATAGAAATGCTCAGAGAAACGCGGAGTCACAATCCCTGTCTCCAGAGAGTTCTGCATAGGTGGCATAGTCTCCACGGAGATGCTTATTCACAGCGATGGCTCTCGAAAGCATTCCAGTCTGGCCACGAAGAGTCTGCCTTTTGTCACTTCCCACCAAGGACATTCCTAACGACGTTCCCCCCATGTTGTAACTCTTCCTGACAAAGGATGTGGCCATTTCCCTTCTCTTGGGCACATTTCTGATGCTCGGTGAAATGATCACAGTCTCTCACCTGTACATATTTGCCAATAATCTTTATGATCTCCAGGTTAAACTGCTTGACTGGGGCAGCCGCGAGGTCAATGTGGCTCAGAAGACTGTAGATGATCTGCAGTAATGACTGCTGCATGCTGGACAACCCTTTCTCCAACAACTAAAAGAGACATTCCAAGGTACACGTTAGCCAGGTAAGTGAACGACCTCCGGCGTCCACATTTACAAGTTGAAAAACAAAACCGCCTTAGCCCACGCGTTCATGGTTAGATGAGAAGAAATGCCGGTTAAGAAGTTAGTGTCTGCTATCATTCTTTCTTGACTCAAAAAGGAGAATTTCAATATTATGTTTAATCATCTTACTTATCTTTTTCTCTTTTGAGGCAAACAAAACTACACGGTGGGAGATACTGCCATATATGGCATACAACAGACCGTGCTGGGCCAGCTCTAGACGTTAGAACCTCATGCATGATAAGTTCTTTAGGGAAGACAAAGGAGCCATGATTGCGCACCGGCTAAGTACTCTGCTGTTAACTCAAAGTCTGCTGGTTTGAATCCAAGCAGTTGCTCCACAGGAGAAAGATCTGTACATCAGCTCCCTTAGAGATTACCCACTCAATAACTTAGGGGAGGTTCAACTCCATCACTTGGGTTTGTGATAAGTTGAAATGGGCTCAATGGCCCACCTTACTGGCAAACTAGACAGCAGCACAAGAGGGTCTCAGGCTCTGGGTTAAATTCAAAGGCAAATGTGGTCTGCTTGGCTCTTTCCCCCAAGCTATGGGTGCAAGAGAAACCTACTAATGTGTGTTCATTCAGGTTTAGAAGCTTACAGGCAGGTAGCTTCCCTTGGCCGTTCACTTAAATTATAAAATTGATGGGGTAGTCAACCTATCAAAATCAAGACCTTAAAAAATTCATACCAGTCACGAAATACTTTCACTGAGCTAATAATGCTATGGACAATGTTTAAATGGTTTATTCAGCTATGAATTTTTTACCTCCTTGTTGCAGCATTAAATTTATTAACAAATGTCACGAAAGAATGCAAATACTGACTGAGTATGCAGTAGAATAATTTTAAGTCTGTGTGGTGTTATGGTCTGAAAGGTAAACCCTCTTGTGCTCACCCCCCAAAAACACCCCAATTAACAATAAAAAAAACAACCATCTGTATGGTGTTTAATTTCTAGAGACTGATTATTTTTTGGAAAGGAGGTATTCCTTTATTACAAACTGATAGATATTCTGAGTGATTGGCATCCCTTCCTTTTGAGGTTGTCTGTGTACCAACATAGGAGCCTTGATGGTGCAGTAGTTACGCATTGGGTTAACTGCAAGTCAGCAGTTCAAAACCACCAGCCACTCATTGGGAAAAAGATGGGACTTTCTACACCTGTCAAGAGTTCATCTTAGAAATTCTCAAGGGCAGTTCTTCTATCGCGTCCTACAGAGTCGCTATGTGTCGACAGTGCCTTGATGGCAGCGAGTTTGGTTTTTGGTTTTGTTGTACCTTCTTACTACTTTATATTTAAAGGCATGAAACTGCTTCTTATGCATCAACACATAAATATGCACACCTGATGCTACTCTAGGGCTATGTAAGAACAAATTTCCACTTTTAGCCCACTCCCCCACCCCCAAATCATCTTTAGATTAAGAAGCATCCAAACACCAACTGCCCCTGTGTCAAGTCTGGCTCCTGGAGACCTCTGAGGGCAGAGGAGACCTGCTTTCTAGGCCTGGTGAGACTGTGTATCTTTTGCACGGGAGATAGTCTCATCTTTCTCCCATAGGAAGAAAATGTGCCACTATAACAAAAACTTAAAAAGCCCAAACCCAAACCCAACAACCCCAAAAATCATACTCAGTACAAAGACGCTTTGCACACTGTATTCTTATCCTAGGAAACGAACTCATAGCCAAGAACCAATTTTATAGAAGTAGAAGTTGTAATCATCCTCTAGGGTCAAGGCCACAAAAACAGTTTACCTCTGCAAGGTAAGTCACAAGGCTAAAGGTGGCGTCTGAGAAGGAGTCATGCAGGTATCTACACACGACGTTGATCCAGTTTGAGCAGTCTCGGGAATACGTGTGTGTGCTGTACAAGCTCATCATGTGAGCCAGGTTGACCAGGGTGGGGCACTTTTCTTCTGCACACACCTAGGAGATAAAGGCCATTATTCCATTCACTTGCAGGGAAGACCCTCAAAGATTACCCTTGATCTGATATAAAATGCATTGACGTCGTGAAGGAGTCTGGGTGTGGCTCTGTAACATTTTAGTACACTCCATGTACAGTAGAAAAAAGTAAAGAGGAAAGAAAGCACAAAGGCGTGTGAGAAGACAATGTTGACAGGCCACACGGGAAGGAAGGTGTTAAGTAGGCCCCATACTACTGAACGTGCTGTGAGACAGGACGGCTTCCTTCCGTCTGATGTTTTGAAGAGCTGCCGCTGCTAAAAGGCACTGCACTGGTTGTTCTGCACTGTTCTGCAAAAAGGGCTGTGTTTTGTGAGATCCACGGCCGGCTCACTGCGGCGGTGTCGGTGGTGTTAGGTGCTGCTGTCGAGGTGGTTGTGACTCACAGCACAGCAGAAGGAAACACTGCCCAGGCCTTGGCCATCCTCACAGTTGTTCTCACGTTTGGGCCCATGGATGCGGACAGTGCCAATCCATCTTGTTGCAGGTCTAGCCTCTTTTTAGCTGCCCCTCTGCTTTACCATGGTCAGGCTACAAGGCCCAGACAGGCTGACTCACGCTGGGCATCCCCAGGGAGGTTCGGGGCTGCTGTGCCGAGCTGTCTTGGGAATCTCCATCCAGCAGTCCACTACTGATTCCCACCGTCTCCAATGGATGAAAATTTACAGGGCGGACCCCCTAAGTGGTCTTCAGAAACCTTACACCAGCAATTCTCAACCTGGGGGCCGCAACCCCTTTGGGGGAGTCGAACGCTTTCACAGGGTTTGCCCGATTCATAACAGTAGGAAAATGACAGTGATAAAGTAGCAAGAAAAATAATGTTATGGCTGGGGGGGGGGGGTCACCACAACATGAGAACCCGTATGAAAGGGTCGCGGCATTGGGAAGCTTGAGAACCACTGCCCTAGACGCTAAGGTTCTCAGGTCCACAGAGCAACCTTGTGGAGGTCCTTTCCAAATGTAGACCTTCTAGAGTGTAGCTGATATTGTACTTCAGGAACTTCAAACCGACATATTTGAGGGCGTCTTGAGTCAAAACCAACTCCCACTCTGTCTGCTGCCTGGGTTACAGGAAAGGATGTTCCCTGGTCTCCTGGGGCACGCTTGAACAATGCAGAACTAGAAAAGGGCCTCCCCAGTCTTACATCCCCATCCAGCACAAAGGGCTAACCGGATGCCACTACGCGGATGATGCGAGCCCACGCGCACCATGCCACAGCTGTGCCCCATAGGCTTCTCGGCGACCGTGGTTTCCAGAAGTCGATCACAAGCCTTCCTTCTGAGGCATCTCTGCGTGGTACTGACCTACCTACCAACTTTGAGGTTAGCTGCAGAGCATTTAATCATGAATCCGACCCATAAGGTCTCACCGAGGGCTCGCCTCATTTTAATTCCTACTCTTGAAGTCTTCCTTTGTCATCTTATTAATGATTTGTCAGGTACTCACAGTCTAGAATAGGTAGTAAATGAAAGCATATATATTTCAACTTTCAAATGGATCGGTTTGATAATCCAAAAGAAACTTCATACGTATCCAAGTACCTGTGCCATCCAGTTGACTCTGACTCCCAGTGACGCTACGCAGGGTTTCCGAGACTGTCCATCCACATGGGAGCAGACAGCCAGCCTCGTCTTTCTCCTGTGCAGAACCACTGACTTTGCAGTTACCAAGCCACGCCTAACCCACACTTACATCACGCTCCGATTCATGTTTGGAGGGTCTCAACTCCTCATATGGCTATTATTACTAGGCAAGCTTGGGAGACAGGGGTACAAACTATACAAACTACTACCTCAGCTGCTTAGAAGTGAGCCTGTGAAGCAGTGGTTCTCAACCTGTGGGTCGAACAACCCTTTCACAGGGGTTGCCTAAGGCCATCGGAAAACACATACATATTCCTGATGGTCTTAGGAACCGAGACACCGCTCCTCTATCCGACTCCAGGTGGGTCAGCCCACATGCAGATATGCCCACCTACGAGTACCAGGCATGAAGACTGTCACCCATGCTACACCATGCTTCAAGACAAAATTTAATTTATTTGTCATTAGAAATGAACATTTCACAATATATAATTACATATTGTTTTTGTGATGAATCACTATGCTTTAATTATGTTCCATTTGTAACAATGAAAATACATCCTGCATATCAGATATTTACATGAAGATTCATAACGGTATCAAATTGCAGTAGCAATGAAAATAATTTTATGCTTGGGGGGGTTATCCTAAATGACCCCCTGGGTGATACAACATGAGGAACTATATTAAAGGGTCGCGGCATTAGGAAGGCATTAAAAGTGGCTGGTTCCATCCATTAATCTTTTCCCCATAAGACAGGCATCAGGAATAAAAAGGGGGAAATTTCGTTGTGATTTATTTTATTTGTACTTGAACACCTCATGATAATTGATTGTGATTAAAAAAAAAATCCCCAAATGTCAAACATCTTACAATGTATTAAATGCTTTAAAATAGGAGTTATTGCCCTCCAGAATAAAATGGGTGTGTAATAAAGAATCATATTTCCGTGGCAGATTAAAACAAAACAAAAAAAGTCTTGGGATCTGGACAGTACAACGTTATAACACAGCCACTGACTTAAAAAAAACAAACATGATTTTGTTGGAGGTCTGAATGATCGGGTGAAATTATGCCGACACTTCTTGCCGAAATGAATGCCGCTGAAAAGGCCAATCTCTCTCCTAAGTGCTGCCCCTTTTGGGGCGCTCTCCAAGCGCAGACAGAGCACACAACTCAGGGTATTTGCATAATGAGGAAGCACATAATGGTAGAAAATTACTCTCCACAGTTATGAGTGAGAGAATAATTAAGACATCAATTTAATCCACATCCTGGCGCTTGCTAAAAGCACGCAGTGAGGGAGCCTTTGTGTGCCGCCCAACAGGGAGAAAATCAACCTGGGTGTGCCTCACAGGCGGCCAGATTGATTTAAAAAGGAACAACAAAAAAAGACTAAACAAAGATGACATTTAGGACCGTCCCTGGTCCTGCTGTGTGAGAGCAGAGCTGCAGAGCCGGGCCGGGCCGTGTGCCTCACGCAGGCTGAAAGCCTGTTCTTGAAGGTTAGCTGCAGTCAGCAGGTGCCAAGGCTTCTAACGCCCCCTCACTAGGGGATGGATACCTTTCGTTCTCTTGAAATCTCCCATTAAGCCAACTTATGTCTTTCCCCCCTCCTTGTTGTCTGTCCCACACTAAGGCAGAAACAAATGCATGATTCTTGTCTGCAACAGCTTTCCAGGGTGGCTGCCATTAGGATGTAAAATGCAAATTACTTTATTTAAAGGGACAGAGGGCACCACTCTCAGACTAACAACGCAAATACCGTGCCACTGGTATCTTCCCGTCAAGCACTCATTTATAGAAGGTGGTATTTCATTTCTAACAAACAGAGTTGCCCACTCTCTTGATACTTAATGTTCTGCCGATTTACTTTATTAGGTAAAACCAAAAAGGGGGGCCAGCCTTGTCTTTTTCCCCCCCTATCACCCCCACTTTTTAAAAATACAAACAAACAAAGATATGGCCCTTTAACTATAATCTTGGTTCTGCTTTTAGATTTTAGGCTTTAAGAAGAATCTTTTTAAGACTCTCTCCATTATCTATTTTGTTTAGATTTTTAACTAAGAATGAATTTGACACATTTTATGAAATCTGTTCTTGTTATTCGCTATATGCCCTGGGTCACTGGTGATAACTCCCTGGGTGATACAAAAGGTTAACGTTTGGCTGCTAACCGAAAGGCTGGAGGTTCCAGTCACACCTGAGCTGCCTTGGACAAGAGGTTTGGCAATCTACCATATATAGTCAAGTATAATATGACCTGAACATCAGCCAAGGCACCTAATTTGACCACAAAAACTGCATTAAAAAATGTGCTGGAAAACTCGATTTTACACGAGTATATATGGTACTTCCAAAAAAATCTAGCACGGAAAAAATCCTACGGAACGTAGCTGTACTGACTGACACACATGGTGTTCACAGCCAGCAGGCGGGGCGGACTCCACAGTCTTGTTTGTCGAATCCAGTCTTTCTGTACTGTTAGTGTAAAGAATTGGGCCGAGAGCGTTTTCTTTTCACCACCTTGAAATCCCAGAACTAAGTCAGCCTCAGTGGTGTTAACATTCGGGACACGGAGAGGTGGTTCTTTGATAAGGCTCTCTGCTGGCTTGCTCTTTCCGTGTATTGGCGTGTTGCTGGGTCATATCGTACGCCACACTCCCTGTTCGTGAGTGGATTCCCACGCACAGCGAACCTACAGCGCGTGGGAGCACGGCCCCCGTGGGTTGAGAGACTGTCACCTCTCGGGAGTAGAAAGCCTCCTCTGCTCCCAGGGACGTGGAATCTCGACGGAAACGTTAATTTGCTCATCTACAAAGCCCGTCCGGAGGGTTTCACTTGCCCTTCCCTTCTGTTGCAGATCTCATTGGCTTTCCGTTCAGAGCTTTCAGGTGGGCTACCTCACACTGCTATGGTACCTCCTCCCCAAGTTCACGAAACTTCCTGGGGAATACATCATTCAAAATTTCTCTAAACCCTTCACGTAGCTGTTTACCTTTGTAATCTGAAAAGCTTCTGTCCCACCCTCAGGGGCCGATACCAAGAGCAGACACTTCATTAAGAAAGACATGTACACAGTAGGCAAGCTATTGGAGGATGCTTGTTCATTCTGAAGAAGTTAGTGAAAATAGAAAAGGTCAAAGTTAGGTTCCTTTAAAACTAAGAAAAAGAAGCTCTGATATTTTAAAGTGAACATCAACAGACGGTTCAAAAGGAGCTCCGTTTCTGTTTGGAGAGCTGGCTGCCGAGGGAAGGAAACCAGTCACGAAGGAGAAGAGCGAGGGAAGACGCGACGCGAGAGAAGGTCAAAAGGCAAAGGACAAACAGACGGGAACATCCAGGCTCCCTGACTAGATGACGCCCACTTCTTCCAGGACACCATGCTCTTTCCTCTGCTTAGAAACCGCCACCCCCCAGCTGAGCTGTCCCCCACCTCCCCTCCCCCATTCGGAAACCAACCTCTGGGTATTCCCATTTGGCCTCCAGTGTCAACACAGAACTGACCTCCCCCAAGAAGGCTTCTGGTCTATGTGCTCCTGGAGCCCTCTGCTTTCCCACTGTGCCGACCGAACCACCTTGCTGCACTTGGGTGCCTACCCACGAGGCTCAGTGCCCTACCTGTCTTGCTGAACACCGTGGGGCCAGCACCTAAAGCAGTGCGGCTTTGTCAGTCTTTGGCAATGAAGGGATACGTGAATGAGAGGCTAACAGAGGTAGAGGAGAAAATAGGGAAACGGTAGAAAAAAGACCAGGGCTCAAAGGGGTGTCACTCTAGTTAAGAACTTCCAGGTGGCGGCATCCGAGCATTCGCCACTCACATCAGTTCTACAGACCTGCTTTATGTGCACACAGGAATAACCATGTAGATGCAAGGTTCACATAGGAAGTGACAGCAGAGACTTTTAAACGAATTTTTAAGAGACACCTCCCCCGACCCCTTAAAGAAACACCCCAGGTTGAGTTCCCTGTAGTGGTATCTTCCAGGGTAACATTTGCTTACCTTTGCTATTCGACTAGCTGTTTCTTTGCAAAACTGAGTTGGGCTGTCAAAATGCTGGATTAAGTGAGGCAATAAGCAAAGGATGTTAAGAGGAAAGCCTATCAAAACAAAACAAAAAAGCAAACAATAACCAATTTTATTGCATATTATTGGAAAAGCTAAAACTGTTGTTTCAGTGGCTCCCAGACACCATCCTCTTTGCCTTTCCTGGACTACTTCATCCTCTACCTTCGTCCTATGCTCGCACCCCACGACTCCCTCAGATAAAACAACAGCCTGACTGCGGAAAAGCGGAAATTAGTCGATTCCAAAACAAATGATTAGTTCACATTTCACCGCCATCAAACGCCAAGTGCTGGTGCAATGATAATTTTCACTTCACCTGACAGCTGGGAGGGGTCCACCAGCGTGTGCTTGGAGACAGCGATGAGTTTGCTGAGCAGGTGCACGGTCATTTCTTGGGTCGAGACGGAGGTGAAGCCCTTCAGGAAGAGCCGCTGAAGGCCCGGGAAGTTCTTCCATTTCAGTTTGCTTTGGACGGTTTCAATCTTCTCCCGGCTCTCTGACTTGTCCAAAGGCAAGTGGACAAGCAGTTTGTTGAGAAGCCTCAGAGCCAGGAGGTATTCGTACTCATAATCCGATTCCAACAGCGAGGCTGCGATCCAGAAGACGGTGGCCATCAGGTTGGTGGGCTCAGTAGTGGCATGCACGTCATACATTCCTTTCTCTCGCAGGGAGGAAAGGCTTCTAGTCCTCGCTAAACTAGTGCTGTGGCTTATCCGTCCGTCCATTATATCCAGTGTGTGACTCCGCTGCCGGTCACCTCGCCGCTCACCGATCGAACTTAATCTCAAAGAGTTACTTCTTGCATTACTGTTATATCCCAAATCCCTGCTACTATTCATGGGACTTGTGCTTAGATTGAGTTGTCCAGTGCTTTTCCTGTTAGCTGCATACTTGTTTCCCATGATAGGGTCATGGTATGAGGTTCTTTGGGGCGGGGGGGGAGAAAGAGAAAACCAGTCACAATCATATCATATTTTGCTGCACTAATTTTACTCTTGAGCACACACATGCGTGCGCACGCACGCACACCCACACCCATCAGAAAAAAAAAGTGACTATCTGACTTTGTGCAAGCGCATTTCAGGCCTCTCTTGCATACTGAGAAATAAAATAAAATGTGTAATAACACTGTTCTTTTGAGCTGGGATGATGTTTACCTTGGAGAGGAAATTCTGTGACAGTAGTCAATATTGCACTTCCACATCTGGGATTTAGGTATCTGTCCTGTCCCAAGCAGACCTCACCTATCTTCTCTTCAGTCCTGCTAACCCCGGTATCCTCATTTCTGTCCACAGCACGCTGTTTCCACAACCTCTGGGCTCAAACTCTGTTTTTCATTTCTTCTTCTCCCTCACATCCAGTTACTAATGATTTTAAAGGTATTAACTGAAGGCGATTGTTTGCAGGCTAAGAGGAGCATTACGTAAAACATTTTGTAGGAGACAGACATGTAAGTAGTGGATTTATAGCCTATAAATTGCTGCTACTAAAATACAAGGGAACGTTTGTTTTGGGAGGGTCCTAAGGATGTAGCCATTAACAGGGCCCTTGGGAGAGCTGGATTAGCGGAGAGGGGACATCTGAGATGGGACTTGGAGGATGAGTTGGGTTTCAGGTTTGCAAAAGTCAATACTCAGGCTACCTGAGAGGAGAGCGGTTCACGTCCTCAGACGATAGGGCTGATGATCGCTTGGTAAAAAAGTCTTCCTCGGAAAACCTTAAGGAGCCCAGTTCTTTTCTGACACTCATGGGGTCGCCATGAGTTGGGGCAAATGGAGAACAGCTGGTTTTGAAGGCAGAGACAGTGGGTGGAGAGGTTGCTCCAAGGGGGAGGAGGAGCCGTGTGTGGGAAGCGGACGAGTGTGGCTGTGGCAGAAAGCCCTAAACCGGGACCCTGGACACCACTCACTCGTTAGCGCAGTGATTTCCCTCACGTCTTCACCTGCCGGGGTTAAGGTTCAACCTGGTTCTCCACCTGACCTAGAATAATTTCCTTTACCACTCGCACAATGATACCGTGTCATGGTGGCCCACACTCGGCTGTTCAAGTTCTGCATACAGAGCTACGGGTGGCCAAGGTCAAAGTCTTACTGAGAAAGTGCAGAAAGGAGATCATAATGCTTCATGGTCTCGGCCAAAGTGTCGATTGCAGACTCCAATGTCAGCAGAAGCTCGATCACGAAACCCTGCGTATGCACACACACACACAAAACAAAAACAACAAAGGTGCAGCTTTTTAACAACCATGCTCTGGAGAAACAAACGCCAAAGGACTGGCTGGTGAGATGGACAGTGGGAAGAACCTTCACATCAATATGACAGCATGATTAACTTCTCGGGTAACGGGGCCTTGGTGACTCATGAACACTCGTCAGATGAATGGCATCAATGGATTCGAATGGCCTGACGATTCACTCAAATTCCAGGCCAGAAAGCTAAGGGTCACCCCTGATGCTCCCCTCGCACCTGAAATGGAATCTACCAGCAAGTCTTATCAATGTTAGCTTTCGACTCTGTAAAAATCAGGCCCTTCCATCTCGACACCTCCGTGGCTTTCTTTCACCTGAGCCACCAGCACCGGGGCCTGTATAGGTTTAAAGCTGCCTCTTCCCTAACCTCGCCTGCTCCCCTCCTGGCGAGTGCCACTCTCTCTTCAATGCCTTCGAGTGGTCCCCTTCAACTCAGAGGGAAATCCCACCTGGGACCAGAGCCTGGTGGGCCTCAGGTGATCGGGACCTGCTGACTTTACCAGTCCGTTGCCATTGGCCCCCATGCCCAAGCCCTGGTTACACGCCCGCCACACTGGTTTTCATGACGTTTCTCAGAGAGCCACCTCGTGCTGCTTCAGCTACAGGGCCTGTGCACTTCTTATTCCCGTTTGCTCTGCCTGAAATGCTGTCTCCCAGATCACTTCACGAGTGTTTGTTAAAAAATCCCCTTTGAGATGATCCTGTACAGAACAGTGACTCCTTCCCCATCACCGTTACCTTACTGTTTTCACTGCATCTACCACTAATTGTGTCACAGACCCTAATCACTAACATAGGAAAGGCCTGCTATCCCAAGAGAAAGGAGCCCTGGTGGCCTAGTGGTTTACGGTACTAATCGCAAGGTCAGTGGTTTGAAACCACCACTGCTCTGCAGGAGAAAGACAGGGTTTTCTGTTCCCGTAAAGAGTTCCAGTCTCGGAAACTCGCAGGGGCAGTCCTACCCTGCCCTGTAGGGTTGCTATGAGTTGGCAGCGACCTGATGGCAAGTGGGTACAGGATTTTTTTTTTAGTCCCCAAGGGAATCTAAGATCCAAAAGACCTTGAATGGTGTCTTGTGTAGTGCTTAGAATAGTGCCCATTCTATGTGAGGTATTTGGGAAATATCTACGGAGTAAATTCATTTCCCAACAGCTAATATTAAATTTAGCCTGTACAGACCCATGTTCTCAAATGTAATCTTTTACTTACCTGATCTGGGGGGAAAAACCAAAACCCTGTTCTCCTCTTGTATTTACATTTAACTTCTTTTCTCTTGGACCAGGAGTCATCCCAGGACACTATTCAACTGTTGGGGTGTAAAACCTGCTCTGACCGGCAGTAGACGACTTGGTTTTGCGAGCATGCCAATACACAATTGCCCATACAACCCTTTCTGCCCACCCCCTCAGGTCAATGGCTGCTCCAGGACATTAGAGGCCGATACTTCGCCATCGGTCCAGCTACAGCCGTCCAGAGCTGCCGACGCATCTCTGCCAAACTGTGGCTGCCCAGGAAGTGCTGAAAGAATGTCATGAGGTACCTGGGCATCTTCTCCTGGGTCCCCCACCGTCTCCACGAGTCTGGAGAGGACATCGGAAAGTGTGGCTGCAGAAAGGGGCTGCTTCAGGGCCCTGAAAATCTGGAACGACCGCCCGGCGTAGTGTCGAGAAGAGCAGGACAGTGCTGTCTGCAGGGCCACCTCGCTGAGGTGATGCTCCAGGTGACCTCCTTCTGGGAAAACAAGTGAAGTAACCAGAAGTCTGTCAAGTTACAGGGTCTCGGACCAGGTGCTCACTGTCCAAAACCAGTACCGGGCCAACGGGGCATGCAATGAAACTCTTAGGAGCCGATGTGCCTTCCCCTTCCATTGGCATTTTAGGTGATGCTTGATTCTCTGCTGCAAGGACGCAATCGGCAAGACTTGGAACCCCCCACTCGCCACCACTGCCGTTCTGCCCTGGATAGTGCTTTTGCAGGGAGGAGCTGGGGGTGGTCAGCAAGGGTCCTAGACCCTATGCATGAAATTCCAGCCATAACCTCGATCCCCTCAACTGTGACACCCCCCAAATGTCTCCACACGTTGCCTGATTCTGAGGGAGCAAAGCCACACTGGTCGTGAAGAACCACTGCTTTTAGACACATGTGTTTTTACTAAGAGTTTCAAACTGTCCTTCAGCTTTCTACCACGGAAGACCACACTGGCACCTAAGGGAGTTTTAAGTCATGGCTGCATCTGCCCCTTGAACTCCATCCACCCTTTCGTCGGATGAAACCAGGCTGCTGTTGGATGATGCCGTCATCCACAGAGCCAAAACGTCCAGCGGTCCACAGGGACGTAGCTTTCTTATTTGAAACAGTCCCCGGTGGTGTCGTGGTTGTACGTTGGGCCGCAGTTGAAACCAACTGCCGCTCTGCTCCCTTCAAATGGCAGTCTCGGACCCCAGAGGGGCAGGGGTGCCTGTCTCACGGGGTCACTGAGTCTGAAGTGACGTTACAGCAGTGAGAACTTAGTTTTCTTCCCCCGACTGAGAACGATCTGCCATCACTAATGAGTGGTTGTCGGGTTGTTGTTGTTTTTAAGTGTAGAACTTTTCATGTACCCAAGCAGCTATCAGCTTTTGTTAAACATGACGAGAAAGGTTACGCAACATGAACACGACCTCTCTTTGAAATGAAGTCGCATCTGGAAGACAGCACGACAGGTACCTGCGCTCGACTGCTTAAACACGGCCACCACGTGCTTCAGGAACGCAGTGAGCTGCTCGGCGCTCCTGATGCTCGGGGTCTTGGCGGAGACGTCCTCGTGGCTCCAGAGCGGCCCTCTTTTTCTGGCAACAGAGCACAGTCTTACTTCCTTGTGTCTGAATCGCTGGGGTGTTCCTCATCCTTGTCTAACGCGCACCCCGTGACTAGGAAGCCCAGGAGTCGGATGAGTGCAACACAGCGGTTCTCCACCTGGGGGTCGAACGACCCTTTCACAGGGGCCGCCTAATAGATCCTGCACATCAGATATGTACATGATGATTCGTAACGGTAGCAAAGGTACAGGGATGAAGTGGCAACGAAAATAATGTTATGGTTGGGGGGTCATCACAACATGAGGAACTGTATGAAAGGGTCGCGGCATGAGGAAGGTTGAGAACCACTGGTCTAACAACACCCCACTAAGTCTCCCCATGCCCTTCACGCATGTGGATAGCAAGGGAGGAAGATCTGAGTTACATATAATCAATCTCAAAGCCTTCCATCACTGCCCGCCCCCCCAGCCCCAACTATCTCAGAGGTAGTGCAATAAAATGATATATTTTGCCAAATGCGAAGAGGACTGACCCCTCTTGCCCTCCCTCCTCCCAGCCCAAGGTATCTCCTTGCTGGACCGATCAGCATCTGTAACTGCATGGTCATGCTGCAGGGCTCCTTAGGCTGGTTTCTCCCTCGCTTCTAGCACGGCCCCGAGGCAGCCTTTCCTCTCAGCCAGGCGGGATTGGCTCACCGTTTCCACACACTGGGCTTTCTCAGGCCCCTGTGGTGGTTTTGCATGCAAGGTGAATTGCCCCCTCCCTGCTCTCCAGCTATCTTTTTTGGTCTCTGAATGGTGCCTGGCGAAGAGTAAAGGAGTCCTGGTCGTGTAGAGGATGATCTACCTACAGGGGCTCTACCTACAGGGTTGGCAGTTCGAGACCACCCACTGCTCCACGAAGACAGTTGAGACTTCCCGCTCCCCTAGCAAGTTACAGCCTTGGAAAGGCAGGGGGTAGGTTCGACCCTGTCCTAGAGTCACTACGAGCCAGAACCGACCATCAATAGAGTAGACCATCAATAACGATGCAATGCTTGGCCGGCTGATCAGAGTAGGTGTTCAGGTACCGACTCTCAAAACACCATCATGTTGGAAATGGACATTGTGGCCCACGACAGCTAACGGATGAAGAGCTGCTGAGCACAGGCCCTGCTGGGGAAGCCAGGGGGTAGGCGTTACCTTGAGGTAATGAACTCCATGAGGCCTTTCACTTTCCCATCCTGCTCCACTGAGATGTCCGCCTCATTGAGGAGCGTGGCGTGCAGGTGTGACATGGCAGCGCTGCTATTTCCTAAGCTGATACTAGAAGAGGTAGAACTTGAGCTAAGCCCTGAGTCAGTCATGGGGGAGGGCTGGTAATCGGGTATAAAATCATTCACACCTGCGGAGAGAGAGAGACCATCATGCAGAAAACCGCCTCACAGGGAGATAGCAACTGCAGTTTCTGACGGAGTGGTGGGGAACGGGAGGCTCTCGCTCAGGCAGCGGCTGATTCAAATGAAGGATCCTCAGAAACACCCGGTCCATCAAGGGAGGGGGTTTTGTTTGTTTGACTTTTTACTGTGAATTAGGTGAAAGTTTACAGAACGTGGTTTGGCATTCAACAATTCACACACCGTCAGATTCAACTCACTCGCGGCAGCCTCCCTCAAGATTCCTAAGGCTCACCCCACTACTTCCTCCCCATCCTTCCTCTTTCCCAGCCCCTCTCAACATGGCACTTGGGGAAGAGGGGCCCTTCTGATCTTCAATGGTTTATTCTAAACACCAAGGTGAGTTCCGTTCCAGACGTGAATGGGAAGGCCATAGTTGGAGGGTCCCATTGGTCTCTATCCAACTAGGACACCTGGTCTCTAGTGGAAGATTTCAGCAAACACCCGTTTTCACATCCCTAGGCCCAAACTTAAGTGTTTGGAGTTACTGTGCAGTCTCTGCTGCCATCTGCTGAAGAAAGGTGCAAGAGGCCATTTCTTTTTTTTTCTTTCTTTCTTTTTTTTTTTTAAACATTTTATTAGGGGCTCATACAACTGTTATCCCAATCCATACACACATCAAGTGTGTAAAGCGCATTTGTACATCGTTTCTCAAAACATTTTCTCTCCATTTAAACCCCCGACATTAGGTCCTCATTTTTCCCCTCCCTCCCCGCTCCCCCCTCCCGCATGAGCCCTTGATAGTTTATAAATGGGTATTTTGTCATATCTTGCCCTGTCTGACGTCTCTCTTCATCCACTTTTCGGTTGTCTGTCCCCCAGGGAGGAGGTCACACACAGTTCCATGCAATCGGTTCCCTCTTTCCTACCCATTCTCCCTTTACCCACCCTGTTTTGCCACTCACACCACTGGTCCTATAGGGCTCATCCGTCCTGGATTCCCTGTATTTTCAGAGGCCATTTCTGATAGCTGGTCGTTATTTCCTCAGTATTAAGCACAATTTTATAATATGAACATATTGTTAGTGTTTCATAGTAAGTATTCTACATATTCTGCTTATTTTACGTAAATATCTTTTTGAAAGTCTATTGGTAATATTTACACTATGTCAATTATTGAACGATTTGTTTTAAACTCACTCAACTCAGATACCTCCAGTGGATTCCGACTCACAGCAACCCTACAGGACAGGCCAGACTTCCCCTGGGGGACTCTGAGATGGTAAATCCTTACGGGAGTGGAGAGCCTCATCTTTCTCCCTCGGAGCAGCTGGCGGTTATTAAAGGCTATCTTTTTGTCTATATTTACAGAGGGCTAACAGCAAACACAAACTACGAAATCATGAATAAAGTTGCTTTTCTGTAAAAAAGGCAATAAACTTTGTCCCACTCTTTTAAAATTAGTTTTAAAAATTCGATTAAGTTTCCTAATAATGATTTTTCTTACAAGCTACAAGGCTCTAAGAAAATACAAGGTGTTAACTAATAACTCAGAAATTCATTAACCATGTATCTGAAGCACAATAGGATTAGGAAAAATGGTGCCTATATTTAAGTTTCTGAAAGTAATGATTTTTTAGACCATCTCTTATTAATTGGCATGATGAAACTGATGAACAGAGTAAATAAGTAGGGGCTATTAAGAAAGAAAGGAGCCTTGTGGAATAAGCACTGTACTGGTAACCTCAAGGTTGACAGTTCAAACCCACCAACTGCCTGTTTGGAGAAAGACGGGGCTGTCTGCTTCTGTAAAGATTTACCGTCTCAGAACCCTTGTCTAGGATCCGTAGGAAATGACATTGTCTTGATGGCAGTGGGTCTGGTTTTGCTGTTAGAAATGAAGAAAATATAACACTAAAGGTAAAAATATTCACAGTTAGTGAAATAATTTTAATACTTGTGTCTCCTAAATTGGAGTCTAAATACTTAAAAATGGGCAACACTTTTAAATTGAGTAAATAGAAGAAAGCAAATCAAACAGCTAAAAAAATACGATTATCAATTTTTCAGACCTTGAGAGTTGGGAGAAGGAACACAACCTCGCTCTCACACCAAGTGCCCAGTGAGTGATGCATTTCCACTGCACCTTCAATCCACGCATTCAGAACGTACGCTGTTCACCACAGAGATCTTCAGCGAGGCAGACTTAAACATGCAAGTGTAACGTCTTCTTATATTGAGTAGTAGATAGCTAAGTGGCACACACTGCATTTTTACTTAAAATGTTCTCTAGTCCCCATTAACAACGCCTCGTTCCCACTCTTCAAGCGGAGGCGTTCTGGAGTACATACCTGTGAAAGAGGAATCTAAGTGTGCCACGTGTTTGACAGTCAGCACCCTGGGCTCATTAAACTCCTTGTTCCTGAGAAGGACAGAAGCAGCAGTCCGGACGTTACTGTTGGATCCCATCACTATCAGTAAATGCAGAAGCAGGCGCTTACAATGTTCATATACCTCAGGGTGCCAGTGGTCAAGCCCTAGAGTGGATGGGAGGAAAAAGGCATCAATCAACAAGGAGCATTCTTGACACCAATCTCCAGAACCTTGTGGAGGTCAGTTCTAGGAGGAGGATTCAACAAGTTGGTGGAAAAATTCCATGATCTGTTGTTTCAATTTTATTTTTTTGAGTATATCCCACCAAATTTTGTCTTTCTTTTTTGGGGATCATTTTATTCAGGGCTCATACAACTCTTATCACAATCCATACATACATCAGTCGCATAAAGCACATTTGTACACTCGTTACCCTCATCATTCTCAAAAGATTTCAGTTTTTTCCATCAACTTTTTAAACCCTTTGTAAAACAGGGTGGAAATTGCCTTGACAAATGGTTTATTGTCTCATAATAGGACGCGGATTCTGGTAAGTTTTTAATAAATTTCAAGTCTAAAATTGAGTAGATCTTGCTCTTGAAATGATTACCCTATTCTTGAATAGTAAATGTAAAATAATAATTATAATAAAAGGTCAAGGATTCTTTAGTTCCCAAAAGAATAAAGTGATGCCTACACCATGTGTATATCAGGAACGTTGCTGAGAAGCTGGCTATGTGGACTGGTCTCAGGAAGCCAGCCCTACAAGTTTCAAAGATGCTACTCTGATGCGACAAAGTCTGTATGTTTGCCTCAGAAGGGCAGTGGGATTTCAGGTCTCACAATGAGTGTCCAAAATTCAATTCTTTTGTGACCAAGAGGATAACGAGACTTACAGTCTACTGCCACTTTCAGTCATTCTGAAAGTTTGCCTAAGTCCCAGAAGTAAAGATTCATTATTTATTTTACTATTGCTAATGCTACAGAATTATTCCTGGTAAAGTGAGTGAGCATGTGTGTGTGTGTGCGTGTGCATGCATGCGTGTATAGGGGGTGTGCGGCGAACTGTGGTGCAGGAATGGGAATAGCAAAGATAGAGTTGTTGATGGTTAAATACCTCCTGCTGGGCCAGGAGCCAGGAGCCCTGGGGGCACCATGGTTAAGCAATTGGCTGCTAACTAAAGGGTCAGCAGTTCAAACCCATCCATTGGTGATCTGCTTCGTTAAGTCATGCCTAGAAAACACTGGGAAATTCTAGTCTGTCACGTGGGCCTGAGAGGAGCCGACATGGGTTCAAGGGCCCCCAGCAATAGCAGACCACGAGTATTCTAGGGTCTGGGGAATAAAATGCATAGACATCGATCTGGGTGCACGGGGAACCTTCCCCCAGAGCACACTTCCTTTAGGTTTTGTAAAAATGTCAAGCAAAGATACAAGAACAAGGACCAATTACCTATAAAAATTGCATGAAGAAGAAGATGGAGGTAGCTTCCCCATTCCACCTTCACACTATGATCAATGATGAGATCAGTCAAGAGAATCACGGCTATGTTACACCTGTGACAGAGAAGAGCATTACTGATGTCTCACTGGATCAGGGCTAACCTAGAGAAAATCCTTTGCAAATTATTTGAAGACTTTAGTATTATATTTTAGAGAAATACAACATCTCAAGAAAAAAAAGATGAAGAAAAAAACATCTGAAGATATCATTGTTAAGGTGAGAATTTTCTATTGGGAGGGGGTGAAAAAGCTTATCTGATAAGGGCACATTAATGTCAAGGGCCTGACTGCCTTATCTTTCCACCTTAAGATCTATCCCATGCTTGCCACATAGTAGGTGTTCAATACATATTTGGCACCTCACTAACTCTGGAAAGAAATGAAGTGACTGTTGTCTTATGACTGCCCTCAGTCTAACTCTGCTTGAACTCCGTTCAAAATACTACGGCTCATTGGAAGAAAACACTTTTCCCCCCAGATGTAGCGACTGGGTCCCAGAAAGGTCAAGTAACTATGGAAGACACCCAGAAAAAGAGCAGCAGCAGAATCCGCTTTCAGGGTATTCCTTTTAAACTCTTGGGAGTTCTCTGAGCTTTCAGAGTTCCTCCAACCTACCCACGTGGATCTAGATTTGTTGCCGCATCTCTTAAGGAGGAAGGCTGCCTTTAGCCTGCACCGCCAGTTTGCTTAAGAGAAAGCTGAATGTGCTAAGCAGCAATTCGGGTCACGTGAAATAGGAATGATGCTGTAGTCCACCTGTGAAGAGGTAATCCTGGTGATGACGTTTCAGGCAAGTAATCCACCAGTGGCGACCAGCAGCCTCCAGCTGGTGGGAAGGGTAATGGCTCTCCTTGATTATGCTCCATCACTTTCAGGCGCCAGTGAGAATAAAGTGGCATTGAATCACCTATCAAAATAAAATGATCTCATTTTCTCCACCATCTGTTTTCTGCCAGTATATGCACACTCTAGTAAGATATCAACTGCGTATAGCAACAGAACGTGACCAATAGAATTTCCCCTTATTTCAACACATGGTTGTTAGGAAGACCTGGGTAACAAATGTTCCCAATACAGCACGTCAGTGGGAAAAGGAGCTAGATCAATTCAGGTCCCATCCCTGATTACGAGAGTAAAACTACATGAGCACTTCACGAGGAGTCCATGCCCGAACCACGAGACCACACTGTAGGTGAAGCTGCCTTATCCCAGGGTCCTGCTAGCCATTCGTGCAAGTCCGAGTTGCGGAGACGGATGGGTCCAACAGAAACGCATTTCAGAACGAAATCGGCCTTTGGCAATGGAGCTGCAGGGTACTGCTTAAATTTTTAAAAAAAAACTCCAAAAATGTGAGTTCTGCGTGACATGGGTAAGTCACTTAACCTCTGTGGGCCTCAGTTCATCAGGTGCAAAATGAGGAGATCGGACCAGACTGTCTTCAGGGTCCCTTTCCAGCCTGAAAGCTCGTGTGGCTACCTCCAGACTCAGATAGACCATTCACTTTGCAGAGGCAAAGGACAACTTCGTTGGTGACGCAGGGCACCATGGAGAAGGCTTGATTCTGATTTAAAAAAACAAAACCAAAAGCCAGCCTATTGGCAGGGTGTGTTCTACGACATGTCTTGGGAACCATTCCTTACCTTTCTTTTTCTTTACCTACTGGGAACCAGTGCTTAAAAAAATAAAAGGTAAATCTCCTACTTATGTGGCTTCTTAACATGGAAAACATTTTGGACTACATGGGAACTCCACTGGTGGTAGTTAAAGACTCTATCTTAAAGTGATTTCTGGGAGGGTGCGGGGAGATCACTTTATTAACATCAACATAATTAATGTAATCAGCATAGCCCATGCCATTTTAGTTATCATAAGTGCAATCAACGCAATTCTTGCTGTGAGAGTTATAAAAAGCACTTAGGATGCATTACTTTTTTCTTCTTCATAAGATCCCCCAGAGCTGCTGCTGTATCGGGATTCCAGTCTGTGGTGCTGGCGGTTTAAATGGCTGTTTAGTCCACTGTAGAGGTCCAGGTGCACATAGCTATGGAAAGAAATGAGCTCGGTCAGGCACAGCTCAGGGGAAGAGGGCATGTGTGATTTGTGTTTTACTTCCTAGGTTTAAGAAAGGGACACTATGCAAAATGTGAACAAAAAGCTTGCTGTGATTTTTTTTTTTTAATTAAGCATTTTTCAGCCAACTATTTCTACTTAGGTTCATCTTAAGTCTCATGCTCTGTCATCAAGACAATTCCAAATCAGGGTAACCGTGTAGGTCAGAGTAGAACTGTCTTGGAGGGTTTCCAAGGCTTTAAATCTTGATAGGCTTAGCCAGCCTCATCTTTCTCCCACAGAGCAGCTGCTGGGTTCGAACTGCTGACTTTGTGCTAAGCAGGTCACGGCCACCAGGGCCCCCACCTCTTCAGTGGTTGTGGTAATAATGCGCTGGTCAAGTCTACCGTACTGAAAATACACAGAGTAAGCATCCCTTTAGAGCAGCGGTTCTCAACCGTGGGTTTCAACCCTTTGTGGGGGTCGAACGACCCTTTCACAGGGGTCGCCCGATTCATCACAGTAGCAAAATGACAGTGATGAAGTAGCAACGAAAATAATTTATGGTTGGGGGGGGGTCACCACAACATGAACAGTATTAAAGGGTCGTGGCATTAGGAAGGTCGAGAACCACTGCTTTACAGTGTCTGAAAATGTAGGCCAACAAAAAGTGACTGACCACATTCTAGCACATCCATTAAGAGTAGACATCGTTAAGATGCAGCTATAATCTAGCATCTTTAACATCAAAATAATGAACATTTACCAAAATTTTAACCAACCCCAACCCCCCACCCTCCGGCCTGGCCAACAGAAAATCCCATTAGGAGTCATTATCATTTCAACCGATGAGGAAAGGGAAAGGCTGATGGGGAATGAGGAGCGTTTACCTCTCTTCAATGCTCTCCTTTATGGGCTTGGGGTCGGGATTGCCATCCATGGGAGCTACCATTGTATCGCTGCTGGAAGTAGTACCTGCAAATGAGAGTGGACACACTACCTATGAACTTAACCACCTGGGATAACTCCGGAAGAACAAGGGATGTCAAATGATGACGGCAACACACTGTTAAATGAGACCAAGGTGACTTTAAAAAAGAAATGTAGAGGAAATCCCCCGGGGTCACTTAGGGACAATGGCAATTTGCCACTGTAAGTCTGCCTTCACTTTGACTCAGCTGAATCAATCCCCACTTCCAACACCGCCTTCCCCTCAGCTGGCCAAGTCACCTCCACTGCGGCACATGCCCCCTCACTTACGCTGACCAGAAGTCTAGAGTTACTACCATCTGTCCCAAAGGACAGAGCAAAAGGGCTCCTGGAGGTTTCTGGGGTTATAACTCTTGAGGGGAAATGAACACCTATCGTCTGAACAGCCGACCTTGTGGTCAGCCACCCGTTCACAACCCTGCACTAAAGGAAGGTTCCATCAGAGCCGCAGGCACTGGTTCCAGCCGAACTACACACCAGGCTAAAAAAGAAAAGCACACTTCAGAATGGTTCTTGTTCCCAAACTGGGGAGTGCTGAGACTCAAAATGACCAAACCCAAGGACACACGACAGCAACAGCATTTCGGATGCTGGAAAACAACCGGGCAAGAAGGAATGGAGTTTTAAGAGGGCTGAGTTTGAAGCTAGTGAGAGGGGAAACCAAGATGCCGCCTTTTCTGTACAGCTGAATGTACCAGGGTCTCAGGAATTCGTGACATTAGTCCTTTGGGCCCTAAGAGATGGGGGCGTAGTGGGAGGGGATGCCAAACGCAGGACTGGTGGGAAACCTATTTCAGAAGGGGCTGGTTCTCCAGGCCGGCCTCCCTGCCCGCCTGCACCGGGATGGCTTTCTCTCTGCACACTCCAAATGATGGCTTTCCGTGTTGAGAAGCCAAGCACAGATGGAGGAGGGGGCATCTCACTGAGCACAGGGAGGGCGGGGAGATTCGCAGCTCCACCCTTCTGCTTGGCAGCCCGGCATGTTAACCCTTTGCACTCTCTAGGGACTCCATTTGTTCTACAAGGACCTGATGAATCTACACTGCAGGGCTGCATTACACTGCCCACCTGCTTCCCTCTAGACAATGAAGAAACCTTCTGTTGCCCAATGTCTTGACTCTTGTGACAATTTCTAATTAGTCAAACTTAATTATTAGACACGGCTCATGTCTGTTGTCATTTTCACAGGTGAGTTTAAACATCCAAGCGCTTGCCTGCATGAACTGTAGCGGGCGGGGCAGCCCCCATTGCAAACAACGCCTCACCTGAGGTGACAGAAGGGATTTTGTAACTGGAGGTGATGCGATAATACGGGGGGTTATCCATGTGGGTGACTCCAGAACTGACGGGGTCCGTCAGCTGTAGTTCGCCCACCAGTTCTTCCAGCAACTGCATGGTTTTATCTCGGCCCAAGTACACGATGACCTTCTTCACCTGTTCAGAAGAGGAAGAGCAAAACTTTGACCTCACATGGTTTCCGGCAGTCAACTCTATCACCATCAACACCGTATTAAGTAGAAGAAAGGAAGCCTGGTCTAAATGTGATCGATAGCGATGGGTAGCAACAGGGCATCAATTCGTTTTATCAACATGGTCGTCCTCAAACCTCGGTAGTGATACCGAGGGGGAGCAGAATCTAATGAGGATGAACAGAACGGGGGACAACTTTAGGTGAGTGTCGTCTCAATGTGTTGTTCTTACTGCAGCCAGGCAGACTTCACACCCAGGAACGGTCTTCTCTCGTTCCTTCCTCCATTCAACCTGCAGGTTAGCGAGTCCCAGGAACTGGAACGCAACATAGACCCAGGTGTGGAACGTGGGTTCACCGTTCATTCACCAACGGGGTGACAGGGCGAGGGACTTAAGTTCAGTTTTCCCCTCTGCCAAGTGGGGCTCTTGGGAGCATCTCTTCACATAGTTGGTAGGAGCTAAAGGTCATAAGGCACTTTCCAAAGGCCTAACGGACTCTACATGTTACGTGGGAAAAGCTCATTTCTGCAATACGGATTACATGCATGTCTGCTTCAGAAATTCGAGGATGTATCACCGAACTACTGACTGGTCAGCCTCTTTCTTTCCCTTCCTCTCCCCTTTAATCCTGGTTGCTCTGAGGACAGTGCTGGAAGCACGAGCATCCTTATCTGGAGCTTGTTAGAGTGCAGAACCCCACGTCCCAGCCTACACGATGGGAATCAGAACAGGAACCCCAGACGGTCCGGAAGCACCTGGCGCACGAGAAGCACAGCTGCAGACAACCTTGGGCTTAACTTCACTACCTCGGACCCCAAGCCTGCTAACAGGGTGCCCGTCACACTGCGTCTCTCCAGCTCAGCAGCCTGCCCGAGCCAGTGGCTCATGGACTCTGTGCTCAGGCTCCACCTGCTCAGAAGATGCTGCTTGAATCTCTGCCTTTGTACTCTGGCTCAGCGGGGCCGTGCTGACCCACCGCGGGAGAACCTGTCAAGTCTTCAATGCCTCCCACCACCCGCCATCCCACGACCTCTCCCTGCCCCTCGCAGCGCTCGCTCACTCCTCACACACCATTCAATTCTGGGCCAGAGTTCCGGTTCTCACGAGGGATGGAGCCAGACGCTTTCCTCTCTGCTTTGCTTTTGCCTTCTTTGCAGCAATTTTACCAAATGCAGAGCTTTAGTCCGAGAATTAAATGAAAGAAGGCAGATGGAATGCCTGGCCTATAATAAGTGCTTAAGCAGTAGTGATTCGAATTAATATGATAAATGACAATAATTTGGGTTGTCGCTTTTTTAAAATGGCAGTGACTTCTTGTAACCTAGCTATTCCCTGAAATTCGTCTTTGTCTCCGAGAATGATACCCTCATGCCTGCTCTCAATTCCAGCTCTAATTCACTCACTTGGCTCAATTAAGGGGCACCTTCTATGTGCTAGGCTCTGTTCGATGCATCTGTTCCTCATTTACCAGGCAACTTGCTATCTGACCTTTCGCATGTAAAAGGATCCAGCATCCATCGCTGTGCATTTCAGCAACGCACACTTGGCAGCAATGAGTGCTGAGGAGCGAAGCAAGAGGAACACTGGCAGTGATGGTCGCAGTGACCTGTCACTTTGGCTGGGCTATGGTTTTGGTTGTTTGGCAGCTGTGTCACAATGAGATTTGGCCGTCAGGCAATTTTGAAATTTTTAGCATAGTGACTGACAGTTATATGACATCGTCATCTTCCGTCACATAATCCCAGTTTTCACATAATGACCTGGTCTTTGGAAATTGAACTATGTGAGGACCCAACTTGCTGCTCGTCAGGAGCTCACCCTCTCTGGGGTGGAGCCAACACACCAGTGAGATATTATGTAAGACCTGCAGTGGAGGGTGAGGAAAAGGGCTGCGCAGGGGCCTTGCCTTGCCTTTGCTGGTCTAATGCTGCCCATGCTTGTCACAAGACATCTGGCCAATGTATTAAAAGAAAGAAAAAGGTTAAATAAATGTGAATACATACGTAAGGCAAGAGGCTTGGTTCACTGTTCACTCCACAGATGCTAATCAAAAAGTGCAAAATTATCTTCAAGTTTTTGGGCCAGCCATCTGCGAGTGTGGTCCACACATTCTCCACCTCCGACCAGGCCAGCTCATCGCCGTACTAGATTGCCGGGCACACGACAGAAACCGTGGTGAGGCTGTGCTCTTACACACCACACTGCTTACTGGGCACATTCGCGACAGCAGCAGCAGTGGATTACACTCCACGCCACAAGAGCCACGCCACCAAAGAGCAGCAGTTCAAATTCTCAGAGCGTCATGTGTCCGTGCCCGATTTCTAGTGGTGTCCACGAGTAAGGAACCCCCGCCCCCCAAATAGATCTAAACATGTGCGTCATGAATCACATAGGGTTTTCACAACACAACTGCAGGACATCTTATACCTGGTCAGGGCTGTTTAGAGAAAGGGATGCATGGTTGCTTGGCCGCCGTAGGATGATCTAATCCCATCTCTGATTTCTAACCACACGGACCATGATGCTAAGGGCTGGGGCGTCTCCACAATTCCATGTGCTGCATGCTGCGTGCTGCCTGGCAGCCCTAGCTCCCACAGGAGAAGGGGCCCCGCACGGTGTTACGGTGGCAGCTGGCGAAGTCTTTCTCCCACAGAACTCCCACCTGCCAAGCCGAGCACTTAACCCACATGCCACCAGGGCCCCTCAGATTCTATGAGGCAGCGGCAGGCACGGAGCCCACTGTACCTTGGCTGTCATGTACATCAGATTGTTCAAAACCATCGCGGTGGCTTGCGGGGACCCCCAGCCTTCTCCCCGTAACCAGCGCCTGCTGGTCACCATGAGCTCCGGGTCTTTCAGTGCGTCCCCGTCGTCGCCGTCGCCGCCATCAGGCCGCCGTGCCGTGGGCAGAGGCTTCAAGTCCACCAGCTCCATGTTGTTCATCCACGGTAGCAGGTAGTGCAGCATCACCTGCCGCCCGGCCGGCTGCGCCGTCTGGATCCTCTGGCTTATCTCTGTGAGGGGAAAGGAGCCCGAGGGGGAGAGAGCTGATAGGACTGTGGTGGCTGTTCCGTGGTAATTCATTCAACGTCGCGCTCTGAGAGGCTCTGGCACCAGGCAGTAGTCATTGGTTACATATCAAAACCCTGAGCACAGCTTCTCCTTTTGGTCCATTTGACCTCAGCGGCATCACAGTGATACATCACAGCGGAGGGCGACCAAACCTCACAGTTCATTCCTAACTCTTGGGGTGGTTTGAATGAATCAGTGCAACCACAAGAGGAATGAGCATCTGCAGGTGCCAATCAACTTGAACTGACTGATCATCTCAAACACTTCAGTTTTCTATCGGGGACAAACCAACAATGTACTGGTTATTTGTCTGCGCCTCCTATTGATGTAAAAGCTGCTAAGCCACGCAGCGCACAGGGCCAAAATAAGCTAAATGAGTTATACCGCTGGGGCAGTTCCAGGCACCAGATGATTTAAACTGAAGTATGCTTACCATGCCACGGGCCCTTGTATCTGTTCAAGTCTCATCAATCCCTATAAAATGAAATGATCAGAACTCGCCTACGGTGCTGGTGAGATTAAAGAATGGTGCAATATCTGTGAAAAATAGTATGGTGCTTTCGAAAGGACCAGACAGAGAAATACCTTGTGGTCCAGCCATCTCACACCTAGCTCTCCCAAAGTTGTAAGAATGGTGACACAGAGAGACACATGCACACCCGTGTTCACTAGGGCAGTAGTCACAGTAGCAAAGCAGTGTGGCACGTGCAGACACAGCTACAAAGAGCCATGAGGAGTCCTGGAAGCATCTGAAAACATGGGTGGATCCGGAGGACATAATGCTGAATGAACCCATCACAAAAAGACAAGAACCCTAAGTTTCTTTAAAGAGAGCCATGTTCTGTGACGGTTACCAGGGACTGGAGTCCAGAGGAGGGGAATCACTCTCTCCATGGTGGGCACTTGCTATTTTGGGTCCCGGGAAAGGCATTACCAACTATGGTGGAACTCAGCACAATCTGACCAAGTTAAATAGAAACATTAAGAGGAAGACAAGAAAACAATGTCAATATTGTGTCTGTAGGCTCATTTATGTACATAAGAAGTTATATGCAAGTAAATGCACCTGTACGTATAGGTATGTCTGTGGCATATGTATATACGTGTCTGTGTGAGCTGCACCTAGACACACAGTTGTGACAAAGCGTGTAGGAGCCATAGTTATGGAAGCCTCCGAGGCCTGCCAACAGCTTGCAGGATGGTTTTACTGGGTTAAAAGGCTTAGGCTTAGGACCAGAGACTCAGGGGACAACTTAAGCAATGTTCTACAACCTCTTTGGGTAAGAATTTATAAAACTCTATGTCTCTATTCATATGGAGCAAAAGAAATGAAGAAAATCAAAGGCAGACTATTAGCCTACATGAACCATTTCCTAACTTGAGACAAGAACTCAATGGTGCCCCGCTACCAGCTCTGACCAGGCACACAATAGAAGATCCTAAATGGAATGGGAGAGCAAAGGAGAGCGTATGTCAACATTGGGGTGAGAAGGAGACTCATTCTAACAGAGCTGGAGGCCACCTATGCAGATCGGGGAATGCATGAAGGCTGGGACATGTTAACAGTGCACTTAGAGGCCATGTTTGGGTCCAGAAAGGAACTACAGACAATAAGTAGATACGAACAACAAGAAATGTCTGAAGACTGGGCTGGGGGAAAAACAGCAGGAGGGCTGAGTGGTGGGGATGGCTGCGCCAGTGAGCATCCTGGCCAGGGCCATGGAATCTGAGCCCCAACTGGACTCCTCTCCTTTCTGGGCAGGTGCCTGGCCGATGCGCAGAGGCAGAAACACAAAAACCAGGTTTAATTAAGAGCAGTCACAGCTTGGTGCCAATGATCATCACTTCTTCTCTCTCTCTGTTCTACAATTTAATTTGGTTGTTACTGAGATCACACAGCAAAACACAGTGCTAGTTCAATCTGTGTGTGCAAGTCGGTGTAGTTGATTAAATTCAACCATTCCCTCTCCTTTTCGGGGATGACCCTTCCGTCTTTCCCATCAACATAAACTCAATGCTCCCTCCCTAAGGCTCTTGCCCCATCTTTTGAGTGACTGTTGTCACTTTACTCTCATATAGATAGTCCTTAAAAGAACTGAATGCTCAAGGCAGGTTTTCGTTTGCTTCTTTGTTTCCCTCATTCAGCCAGACTGCTGTTTGGTTTTCAGAAGACCTCAGGGATTATCGTAGGTTTAAGCTTCAAAGAGTTTGCAGGGCAATAGTTTCAGAGGCTCAGCCAGCTCTCTTCACTTGGGAAAGGTTGGCGTCCGTGAGACTTTGATCAGGATCTCTGTGTATCACCTCTATCTTTGACGAGGGTCTGGGCTGTGGCAACTGGCTAGGAGGCAAGTGGCAATCTTCAAGACAGTGGCTAAAGTAGAAGGACACCGTGTTCTGATGTGAAAACGTACAAAACCACAGTAATTAAATGGCTTTGTACTGCTATAATAATAGACCTACAGTCTAATGGAATAAATGGAGAGCCCAAGAAAAGATCCATGCCATCAACTAATTTTTGATAAGGGTACTTGTCCATCTGCTGGGAGGAGGAAAAGTCTCTTCAGCATATGGTTGGAGCTGGAAAAACGGGGTCTCCCCATCACAGGAGAAGGAATCCGAATCCAGGTCTCACATCCAGCATAAAACTCAATGTGAAATGGACCAAGATCCTAATTCTTGGGAAAAGTTGGGGGGGGGGGGGAGTCGTAAAACTGCTGTGGGAGTTTCTTTATAACGAGGCGCTAATGGGTCTGAGGACAAAAGCAAGACCAAAGGCAATACAGATAACTGCCCTCGCAAAAAAGAGATGTGGGCTATCCTTCGCCCCAAACAGATCCACTACTTGACAAACTGAATGCTAGGAGAATGTGTTTAATATCCTTGCCCCACGCTGGTCAGTTCAGGGTAAGGGATAAACCTCCTCTACTGCTGGGGCAGGCATTGTGGAAAGACGCGCCCAGGAAGCTCAGGTCATGAAAGAAAGCAACCGGCAGATCCTTGTAATCGCCTGGATGCCAATTTTGTTGCATGCTCTGTACTCAGATTAATTAAGACCTGGCTGCATGTAGCAAGCAGGAAAACTAGCTGAGCATATTGTATGCTACCGTCCAAACCAGGGGTCCTCAAACTACAGCCCGCCGGGTATTTTTGCCCCGTTTGCTTTTTTACTTCAAAATAAGATATGTGTGCAGTGTGCATAGGAATGTGTTCATAGTTTTTTTTAAACTATAGTCTGGCCCTCCAACAGGTCTGAGGGAGAGTGAATTGGCCCCGTTTAAAAAGTTTGAGGATCCCTGGTCCAAACGTTTCTGTTCCAGGCTAAGGCCCTATTGGGTTGCCAGTTGACCCAGATGGAACCTCGAGATTGCTCGCATGTGAGTCTCGGGCGATCCAGATCAATAATGTTATCATGCTTGATGCCTAGCCCAGATGTTCTAGAAGGCCCTGGCCAGAACATTTGCTGACCCCAGGAAAGGAAGATGGACCAGAGAGCAATGTGGCATTCGCATGCTTAGCTTTACTTAATCAAGTGGAACCTTTCCTTAGGATCAGAAGAGAGAAAATTGTTGAGAGAGAGCATTACAAATGGGTTCTTCAAAGAGTGAGGAATCCCTGGGTGGGACAAACACCCAATAATCAAATGCTTGGATTGTACAAGCCCCTGCAGAAGGCCCCTAGGAAGAAAGGCGTGGTGATCCCACCAAACAAACAAACACAAGCGGCCACTGAAAACCCTGTGGGGCACAGTTCTACTCTGAGCCCACGAGTCCCACCGAGGTTTTTCCCCCGATAAAACAAGCAGGTGCAGTCAATCCTCATTTCTTTGAACTCCTGCTCCCTTTCATCCCTGCCTGTTACCATTATCAATGGCAAGATGATCAGACAATGGCAACAGAGTCAGACGCAACATGAACAGATTCAGGTCGCGGCCTGACTATGAAAGGCAAGCTTTCACATGGAGCGTGGAGGGCTCTTCGTCTCTTTGGTTTCTGCTGAGGGAAGAGTGGAGAAGGGCGGGAGGAAGGGCACAGACCCACTCAAAGGAAATCTAAACAGCATCATAGAGCTCTACGAAGAGCTTCTTGTTCAAAAGGAAGCAACTCTTATCGAGCGTGAAGACACGTGTGTTTTGATTCCGTCTCAAATGGAAACTACGGGAAATATCGTGAAAAGCAGTGTTTTTGAAAACCGATTGCTTTAAAAAGCCCCCCAGACCCCCAAACCACGATCTAGCGAGAAGCTCCTACCTGAGAACATGGCGAGAGTGAGCTCGGGATACGCCCTGGCTAACTCCTCTGACAGCTGGCAGTAAGACACGGAGTAGAGGTGCGGCAGAGGCGAGAGCTGGCTGAGCACGCCATCGGTTCTCTGGACCTCCAGTTTGTGGGCATAGCGAAACATCTTCGGTTCCAGTATCTGCAGGGATGTAAGACCCCCAGCCAGAGTTAACATCTCACCACCCTTCATATTCCAAATTAGGTCGCGCTTCCTGACAAATAATAATAATAAAAGTAACCCTCCCAAGAAATACTAAACTTCAGTGCGCATCGAACATTAGTTACAATATCAATAAATACGTATTTTTAAAATGGTTATATGTAGAATATTTCAGATATCAATGTCTGCTTCCAAGAAACGACTGCAGAAGATGTTCTGTTTAAGTGACTCTCAATTCTTTGAGTTCGATAGAGAAAAGCTATGAAAGGATATCATTTAAAAAAAAAGAAAGGATATCATTGATGAGCCAATGACTTTTCACTTGGCTCTCAAAAAAACATGTGACTCACATTATTCTTATCTGCTGCACAGAAATACTTACATGAGCCTAAATCATCAAGCTTTTATAAGTCTCATCAAACATATACAGGTGTGCAGGGGAACATATATAAGCCTTGTCATACATATACAGGGTGTGCAGGGGAACATATATAAGCCCTGGACAAAACATTTCTGGATGGTTTGACCTGCTCAAGGAACAAAATGATCGATATTATCTTTTGCTTCCTACACTCAGGAATTTACATGATAAACCTTGCTATTAAAAATAAAGCGGAATATTTTCATTCTCACTGCCACTGAGTGATTCTGGCTCATAGGATGGAGTAAAACCGCCCCTGTGGGTTTCCGAGGCTGAATATCTTTATGGGACCAGACAGCCTCATCTTGTTCCCGGGGAGTGGCTGGTGGGCTTGAACTGCGGTCTTTTCCATGAGAAACAGCCCGCTAGGCCACTGGGGCTCCTGAAGATTAGAGCTGGTATAGTTTAAACGCAAAACATAAACGATTGGGCTTTATTAACCCTGTAGTAGAGAGGGTTTCATTAATTATCGTTTGTCTACAAACCTGCAGGAGCTGCATGGCCACTTCATAGATACTTCTGGACGAGTCGGCTGCTTTAAACAGTATCAGATTTAGGAGCATCACTGGGTCACACTGATAATCCCTGGGGGCAAACAGGTAAGGTTAGCTAAACACTAGGCTGTTCCGAGGTGTTCCCACCTGCTAGGAAATAGAGCTGGTTTAGACTGCGTCATAAAAACGGCAAAGCTGCAGACAGATCGGTATGCCCTCAGTTGACTTTTCTTTAAAGGCAATAGTTACAACACCTGCCCAGTGATCATCACAGCCTTATTCAGGTCGGATGTCCTCCACACTTGAAAGGAAACACCGGCTTGCTTACTACTTCTGAATTCGCGTGGAATTTCTTTTGGAAATCCAGCTGGCCTGGAAAGAAGAGGACGCCAAGTACCTGTTCTGGAACACGTTGGCGATGGCCTTAAAGCAGCCGGCGGCCACCCTCTTAGAGCCAGTGTAACAGCGATCCACCGCCCAGTACATCAGGTTGCTCTGATCAGGGTTCAGCTCCAGCAGTAAGGTGACCGCTTCACAGCCCAGCTGATGGACCTGGCAGAGGGGGCCGGATTGCCCAGGGCAGAGGAAATGATAGGTCACCGGATGACCCGTTCCCCCCACATTCTTAAGAAACAACGCAAGGTAACCCAAAAATGGTATTATTGGAACTTAATCACAAAATTCAGTCTCCTTTGGTTCGCATCTTCCTGGTTCTATTCAGACAGCAAGGAAAACAAAACAAAACAAACTACGCCAAAAATGATGTGGATAAATTATCCTTGGGCTGCTGCTGCTCACAGAAGGCTGCTCCTCCTCTCCATCAGCAGAGGCCCTGGAGGCCGCCGAGGAACAGGAAGAGTGATGAAGCGCTTTCAGAAAAATGAGTCATTCACCTCTCCACTTATTTTTAATTAAGCTTTGTCCTTTTGGATAAGCCAATAAAAAAAACCTTCTGAGGGGAGAAAATGTGTAGGAGCTGGATTAGACTGAGAACTCCGTGTGTGCAATATGTGAGAGCAAGGGTGCTGCGGGGCGGGGACAACACGACAAAATGATTCCCTGGAGAGTGGACTAAACAGTGACATTAAAGATAGAAAAGAAAATGTTTCTTCTATGGAGCTCAATGTATTTGACAGTATTACTTTACGTATAGACTTACACCCTGTTGTAAGATATCTACCCGATTTATTGCTCCTTGGATATCAAAGAGAAATAAAAATTATCCAAATGAGTTATAAAGACTAGAACTTTTTTAGGCAATGCTACCCTGCTTTTACAATACATATTTTTTACATGTAATTCTCACCTTCACTTGAAAGAAGACAGACAGACTGGTTCTCGGGGAACTTAGGCAGTAGGTGATGATAATTACCTTTGTGTCCAGAGAGTCCAAAATGTTATCCAACCACTTGTACAAATAGCCATCGGATGAAAGGCCCACATTATCTGCGACAGGGCCGCAACAGAGGACAGCAGACATAGCCTGCAAACGTAACATGACAGTTACACGCACAACACTTGAGTGCTCTAATGAGATTGCTTAGTGAAACGGACAGGATATTTTCCCTCATCTTAGCTACCAGAAACTCCTATATATTTTATTCCCCTAGCTACCACAGTACCCATATGACTTTTTTCTTCACAAGAGAAAAGTGTGATAACAATTCTTAAAGTGATGAAATTTATGATGGGCAGCACATAAGCATCATGATACCATATTAGACATGGAATTTGAAGAGCAGTATATGACAAGAACAATAGAAGACCATGAGAAAGTACTTTAGTAGAGAAACATTTAAAAGGGAGGTATTTATCTATGAAACAATCTTTAAACATTAAAAAAAAGATATTCAAAATTTGGTAGATTCTGGAACCTGTTGCCATTGCTTCTTATGAATTAAAATAAACGTATGAATACCATTGGAGTATGGCAATCAAATATATATTCCAATTCTCTCAGGCATTCTGAGGAAATTCTTACTCTCTTTATAATACCTGGCAGTGAGAGATAAAACAACAACAACAATTCTAACTCGGCTTTTAAGGACAGAAGAAATCTGATACCTTTAATGCACAGTATTGATGTCTATTAATTTGCATATTCCTATCGCTGTATCTGTCCAAAGGCGTAAACATGATGCTAAAAGGACCAGCCCAGTGACTGAACAGCATAAACAGACTGTGACGAAGGCTTTGTTGAGGAAAAATACTTCTTCTCTGGTGCACTGTGAGGGAGAGAACAAAGAAAGATGGGAATTTTTCCATTTGCTTTGACATGCATGATGTGTTACTGAATAAGCAATTACAGAAAATACAAGTAAGCAAACGTCTTTATTTCTGCCAACCAACAAACCCCCACAATAAAAGAATCTGTTGACATGTCTGGAAGTCACAAGAACAAGGCTGCTGTCTATGTAACCGTGTGGGCCTGTATGGCATGAAGTATGGAACTCAGCCGGGAGAGAGTCCAAGGTGGACAAAACCTGGCACAGAAGTTGGCTCCCAGCTGGCAGTGAGGACCCTGCCCGTCTCCCTGCCTGTTAGCAAGGCTTGACCAAGCCATCAACACACCTCTGGATCATTGGCAAGTGAGGATCTAGGAGTAGGTAAGTTATTAGTAAACTATGTTTTTCCCTCAGGAACAATGAAGCTTTCTTTATAAAAAGGAATCCTGGAATATAAAACAGGAAGTGACTGATTGAAGAAAGGTGTGGGGCCCAAGTCCAATATCATTCAGATGTACCAGAGAACCCCCCCGGCCGTGATAAGACAATAGGAAAACCAATGGTTTAGAGCATATCCTCCCAAACGTATTTAGCATACCACCCCCTTTTATTGGGGGGTGGGGGGGTGGGAGAGATACTGTGCTCCCCTTGCAACACAAAATGTTTGGCCATAGTTCTGGATACAGTATAGGTATCCACTTTTGTAGGGCCCCTGGATGGTTCCAGCTTCCCTGGGGGACAGTGTTGCCCATTTGGGGAAAACACCAGTCTACATCTTCCTACCAGCCTAAATCTCCCTTAATTCTATTCTCAAGCACCACTGGGGCAGGAAGCTATAGCTCACAGTGTCTAAAGCAAGCCTAGCCGGAGAGCTGGTCCCAGTGCCCTCCTCAGGTCACTGTGTCAGCATCCTCATTCCGAACACCAACACCCAGAGGGAAGGGAAAAGAAGGCTGGTGCACGTTAGCCCTCCACGATCATGTGTTTCATGGAGAGAGTACCTGGAAGGCTGGTGCACGTTAGCCCTCCACGATCATGGCTTTCATGGAGAGAGTACCTGGGACGTTCTGAATGATGCTCGCCACTAAGGCACTGAAATGGCAACGTGTGTCCCTCAGGGTGTCGGGGTCTTTCTCGTTTTCGGCCTCCAGGAGCTGTCTGGTTAAGTCTACATACTCCAGCAACGTGTTGTTGAGGAAATGCGTCTCATGGTCGAGGCCACCACTTGCACTGAAAAAATAAAATTCATTTTTAAAAAAAGTTAAGAATTAATAAAATGTGGTTTTAAACCATTATTTTAATGAAAACAAATTCCTAGAACTCAGGTTCAGAGTAATACATATTAAACTCTTCAAGGTCCTGGTAGCAACTTAATATAAAAAAATAATGAACATGATTTTGCCTTACTTACATACATACGCAAATAGATGGTGCTTCTTTATCAGGGAAACCACTATTGATATCTACATATGTAATTCCTTGCTCAGGAGAAAGACCTGGCTTCCCAGTCACAGTCTGGGAAATTCACACAGCAGCCCCACCCTGATCTACAGGGCTGCTATGAGTTGGCACCAACTCAATGTAAGGGAGGTTTTTATTCTTTTGTTTAATCCAATGCTGTGTGTCACTTTATTCCAAGTGCTGATGCCATTTCCTCTCTATCACGTGAAAAAGCGAAGGTCAATGATTCTTCATTCAGTAACTTTATGTTATAAGCCAGGACAAAACAAAAAGGATTTAGATATAGTATTAATTTTTAAAAATTATTATCATTTTATTGGGGGCTCATACAACTCTTCTCACAATTCATACAACCGTCCACTGTGTCAAGCACAGTTGTGCATTTGTTGCCATCATCATTTACAAAATATTTTCTTTCTACTTGAGCCCTTGGTATCTGCTTCTCATCCCCCCCCCTCCCTTATGAACCCTTGATAATTTATAAATTATTATTATTTTTTCATGTCTTATACTGACCGATATCTCCTTTTACCCACTTTTCTGTTGTCCGTCCCCCTGGGAGGAGATTATATGTAGATCATTGTGATCCATTCCCCTTTTCTCCTCCCACCTTCTCCTTCCCTTCCTGGTTTATCTGTCCTAGGTTCCCTGTGGTTCAAACTCTTATCTGTACCCATGTACATGCTCTGATCTAGCCGGATTTTTAAGGTAGAATTCGGGTCATGACAATGGGGGGTAAGAAGCATTAAAGAACTAGAGGAAAGTTGTATGTTTCAGCAGTGCTATATTGCACCCTCACTGGCTCGTCTCCACATCCCACCCCACCCCCAATCTTTCTGTGAATGGGTGTCCAATTGCCTACAGGGCACTCTCCCTCATTCACAATGATAGGCTTTTTTGTTCTGGGTCTTTGATGCCTGATACCTGATCCTATCACCACCTTGTGATCACACAGACTGGTGTGCTTCTTCCATATAGGCTTTGTTGCTTCTCAGCTAGATGGCCGCTTTTTTATCTTTAAGCCTTTAAGACCCCAGATGCTCTATCTTTTGATAGCCAGGCACCATCAGCTTTCTTCGCTACATTTGCATATGCACCCCCCTTTGTCTCCAGTGATTGTATCAGGATGGGGAGCATCATGGAATGCCAGGTTAATAGAACCAAGTGTTCTTGTGTTGAGGGAGTACTTGAGTGGAGGTCCAATGTCCATCTGCTATCTTAATATTAAACCTATAAATATATGTACATAGATCTATTTCCCCAGTGTCATATATAAATATATTTACATATGTACATGC